GGGATTAATTAAGTAACTTGGATATAGTTTCATGTATATCATATATGAAGATTATAATTTCAGTAAGTCATTTATAATATAAAGACGATTCTAATTGCACTCAGAGGCTTTCTTACAAATTAGTGATGGAAACATTTTCGACCATGTAAATCATATATATTCTTGATCAGCATCAACAGGCTAATCTTTCTAGCCATATCCGGCAGAAAAATAATTTTTTCAAAATTGTTTCGACTTTTTGCATCATAAAAATGGTCAAAATTTGACCAAAAATTAAACATTTTTTAATTGTTAAACTGAGTATGCAGATTTGTAAACGCTATAAAAACTAAACAACTACTGCTTTCCGAATTGAATTTAATGCATTTTTGGTTTAGCTGTGATATTTGAAAACCTTTGATTTATCCAAAAAATTATCATATAAAAATAAAGTTTTAATATAACCCAAATATGTGTATGTATATAGGTTTTCCTGTATACAAAGGCCGAACATCCAATTATTGCCAAATGTTATATATATTTGTATATGCAATCAAAATCTTAACCAATACAGAAAATAGATCAACTTGGAGATTTTTTTATAAATGAAATTATTTAAATATTTCTAAGCCTAATAAATGTCTGCCTAGTTTGGGCGTTAAAGCTAGAATTCTAAAAAAAATTTTAACTTTAAATGAGTTTCTTTTTCCCTATTTTTCATGGAATTTTCTCTCTGTGCAGCCTGGCTCCCCACCTTTCCCCTCCTCATTTGTTGTGATGGCCCATTGAAAGCATTTTGTTTTGTTTGGTTTTTTGGTGCTTTTGTTACGATTCGCCTCGTCTCGGTTTCAGTTTCAGTTTTCGTCTTCGGTCTCCGGTCTCGGTTTCAGTCTCACCTTGGTATCGTTTTTCTTTAGCTGAAATTTTTGCTTATGTGAATTTAATTTACCGAAAGTGAGAAATTGGCAAGGAAGCACTTGGAGCATCCCTCACGCTATAGTCATTATAACGAGCAGCGCCCAAAATGGACGTTAATTATGCTTGTATACGTCTCAATAATCTACCAGTAAATGAAAAATGATTTTTACCCACATTTCCCCCCACCAACCATCTCTTGACAATTGCCGCAGCGTTGAAAGCATAATTTGTTTTCAAATATTTATTTATTTATCTGCGCCGCGGGGGGGTTGCGCAACCAAAATTTGCAATATTTGTCAGTCAAGGATGGAGAAAGTATGTCAAATGGTCTTAAGTCTTTCTCTGACACTTAAGGAAAATCCTTAAAAGGCTAAGAATTAATATAGATTGGTTTGCTAGTCGAAAACTGACTTAATTCGTAATCTTTCTATACAAATAAAGGCAATGCCCCCTCATGTTCTCACCTCTAATCGCTGAACTCTGTTCAAATATTGCCTTTATTCTTTGTTTCAGCTCATACCAAACCTCTGTCGGAAAAGGAGCTCAGGCGCCATTCCGCTTGACATTTTCCACAAATTGTTGGCATTTTTTTCCACCCCCCCCCGACTCCACCTGGTGGCCTTCACATAGTTCCGTGCCCCGAATCCTTGCCTTCGCAGGACTCCCTCTCTCTTTCTCTGTTTTTCCCCTTTTGTTGAGTCGCATTTTCCGGCAGAGCCACATTCCAATGCTAATTCTAATTAAGCGCATTTGATGAAGTAAACGTGTCCCGACTTTTTATTCATAAAGAAGGCAACATAAAAAACCCGAAACGAACTGGAAACTAAAAGAACCGGCGAGGGGGGAGGGATGAGGATGTGCCGGGAAATGGGAAATGGGGAAATAGCAGAGGGGTTGAGACTAAGAATGGGCGGCAGATAAAATTTCAACGGGCGCTCATTCAAAACTTTTGAAACGGCAATAAAAAAATACAACACAACTGAAAAAAAAAGGAAAACACAAACAAAGTATAAATAAAATGAAATGTGTAAGAGAGGCGAAAAGCTGGGAAAATTCATTGTCATTGTCAAAATAAATTTTTCTTTTGAAATCCATTAAAGCTTTCATTTGGAGCGAAATTGTTAGAAAAGTGCAAACGGCAAGCACAATCCACTCGCAGAAGAAAAAACAAAAAAAATTCGAACCGAAACACAGATAATGGCGGCGTTGGCGGCGGCAACCAAAGTGGCCGAAAAAATTGAAATTATTACAAAACTTTTGTGATTATCTCGGGCTACGTCCATCGCCTCGAACCGCTCCCAATTAGCCAGGACGCCAAGTCGGCGATATCTTGGTACACTGGGAGAAAAAAATTATAGAAGCTTGGATAGAAAAAACCAGAAACATACAGAAACATCAAGAGAAAAAATGTTAGCTTCGGTGTGCCCTTGCACTTTTGGATTTGGATTATTCAATCGAATTACCTATAAATCATAGCCTATCATTATTTTCAAATAATTAACAAAAATTAATGTTTATCTTGTATTTATCAAAATTATAGCCAGCTAGCCCCTTTAAAATTTTTGACATATTTTGAGTACAATCGTTTTAAATTGTTGTCTCAATATTTTACTCAGCGAAATATATATTTCTTTTGGCAAAAAGGTTTTATTTTTTGTTGGATTCTGTTCCCCCAATAAAACTTATAATGAACCTATTCTGTGCATCATTATTGATTCATTATTATTTTTATGTGATCACTTTTGAACAAATCAAAATCTAAAATGAATATAGTTAAATCACAGAATCTTTAACTAAAATTTGAAAAGATTTTGTGTATTGGTTTTTATGAGTCTACTAAATCAGCATAATGAATATTGAAACTAAAATTTCTACCTAATCTTTAAATATTTTAATGATGAAACCCCTTTTGTAAATTCGTTTTTTTAACAGCCATAGCTAGATCTAGATTAGTAATATATACAATAATAATAATAATTATAACATAAATAGTTTATGGGAGAGCAAATACATACTTCACTGCATTATAATCATTTGACAGAAAATTATAATACCATGCAAAGGTAAGCAAATTATATATTTTTTGTATTATTATTTAAAAATGCAAGAGTATCACCATAAACTCCAGAGATTCTATCCATTAAAGATCAATGTTTTTGTATCAGAAATTGTTAATACACTTTAGCACCGATTAGTAATGAAGCTTAGTAATTAATCTTTTTTGATTAAGCAAAAAAGACTGCATAAAACCTCTTTACTAGTCTTTAAAAAACACAAGCTCTCTACAAGTTATTATTTATTTCATTCAGTAGTTTATATAAATAATTTTAATAATTGTTCTAAGAGCAATTTAATCTTTCAGTGCATAACCGAAAAAAAAAGTTACATTTGTTTCGCCCAATAACTGTCAATGCGGCAAGCGTTTGGGCGTGGCCATTCGCTCGATTTCCCGGACAATTGTTGCGCCCACAAAAAGGGGGACATGGAGAAAGGAAAATGGAAAAGCCAGACCAAGTCGACAGAGGGATATGCTATGCAATTCTATGGGTAGTAGGAAAAGTCATAGATAAATGAACCAAGAGCTCCTAAAGTTACCAGAAACAACTCCATTTCTATTCAAGTCAAAACTAATTTGTAGAAGCGAGAGTGTTAATTAAATAAATATTTATATATGTTACCCACATGGTAGATATTTTAAATATATAATCAATATATAGTTCCGGTATGGATATACCACATATATATATCAAGTTATCGATGACCAACTTATAAGCACTCCCTGTGGCGTAATACTCTTTTGGGGAAAGACGGTGGAGAAAGTGGCCTTGCCGTCGCCTGTCAGGCGGCACAGTCGAGCCACTTAATTTAGAGATTTATGCTAATCAAGCACAAAGTATTCGCCGGGCTCAAATGGAATGGAATAAGATTGGGAGCCAGAGGAGCTGGAGCTGCGTCATACTAAATAAAAGTGAAAATTCTTATATAATATGCTAATATTTCTTGCCGCGCCTCTAATTTGGAATTTTTTTTCTTGTTGGCCAGCGATGCTGCTGCTGCTGCTGTGTGGATTACGAGAGATTTTTTATAATATTCAGATTTATGGAAAGAAGAAGCCGGGCGAAGAAAGCTCAAAGAAGTTTTGCTTCGGGTCGGTTGTCATTGTTTTCCTTGTCATCCCAATAATCGACAACAATAACATTGAAAATTCGCTGGATTTATGCATTTTTTTCGCTTTTGTTTCAAAGAACTCCTCCATACAATACGCAATTTGCTTTTTCCTTATTTTATTCCATTCGCCTTATTTATGCCCAATTGGCCGTGTTTCTGCTCAAATTAATTAATTTAAATTTAAATGTGCGTGTAAATAGAAAGTTGTATACTTTATGGCCGGCCTTTTGCATAAATATACTCCTTTTTTATTCGTAAATAATTTATTAAGCCACATAATTTTGGATTAGATAATGAATGAATAAAAAGAAAATAGACGGCTATGCGAATTATAGCTGCGTATTAAAAATCAATTAATCTGGAAGGAAAACATCCATTATGCTAATAGCAACGGAGTGGAGCGAAACATGACAATAATCAATTGATAAATGGGCCAAAACGCCGTGTAGATGGAACGAAAACAAAGGCAATGAATTAATTGAACACATTTTTAATGCCAGGTAATCCGGCGAACAAGTTGCTGGTATTGCTGGTTTGCAGGAACGGAGAATGCATTTAAGTTGTGGCTTAGATATAATTAAATCATGTTGTCCGCAAACAAGGGATATTGTTTTAATAACTAAAACTCTGCTGGAAAAACAAGCAGAGAGCGTACAGAAAAAAATACAACTCACACACATTTTAAGCAATAAATTAACTTTAGTTAATTAATTGAATTGTGCATAGAGTTGGTATTAAAGAAATTGGAAGAGTTTGCTTTGGTAATTGAATAATAAAATAAATACCATAATATTATAATGATGTAAGACCCCCTTAAACACATTCAATCACATTTCGAAAAAAAACCCCTTTTAAATGCATTAAAAATCCCCATTATTTAGCTTTAGTTTTCAAATAATTTACTTAATTTTAATTGATTAACATTAAGCTCCCTTTTAATAGGGACTATTGCAGCAGCAGTTCTTGATGAGGGAGTGTTCGTAACAGGATTTGGCATACAACAAGGAGCAATCGTAGTACAGGCACTGCGGTGGTCGCAGCTGTCCAGGACCGGTGGCTTTATATATGTAAATTGGAATTGAAAATAAAAAAATGAAATCGCATTATCGTGCGCCAATGCGAAATTGAATAAAATTAATAAATGCACGGAGATTAAAATGCGCACATAAATAATGTCGCCAAAGGCTTTGTCCTCTGATTAATTACCTGGAAAATCGCAGCAACAGGCATCGTGCACCATCTTGTGGGAGCAATAGCTATAAACTGAGGAATCGCACAAGGGGCAACCGGATTGGGGTGGTGGTACATAACCGAATCCTGCCCCAGGACCAGATCCCTGGCCAGGACCAAAGCCAGGACCAAAACCACCTCCAGGGCCTAACCCATTGCCAAAACTTGGGTTACCAAATTGGCGGGCTAAAAGTATATCAGTATGATTTATCTATAATATATATATTTGGAATTTTTCATGCATTATATAAATCCTGCTTAGCTAATCCCCAAAATAATATTTATATATACATAAATTACATGCGTCGATTTAAATGAATAAATGCAGCGTTTTTAGCAACCACGAACTATATTGTTCTAAATTAAATATTTAAAATCGAATCAAAACCCTCGGCAGCCACGAAAAATGGTACGGTGTGGTTTAATTTTAAATTAATAATGCTTAATTGCTTAATGTTTCAAATAAATTCGTTTTCAATTTTGGATTGTGATTTACTTTGTTTGTTGTTGACTTGTTATTTGCAAGGGTGCAACATTATATTTTCTATTACATTTTAATAAAAATATATAGAAAAATATGAAATTGTGTAATATTTCCATTGGTAATATTTGTAATTAGTAATTTGAAAATTAGAGCGTTTTGGAGGTGAAATGTACCAAAAATGTAAAATATTTTGCAACTGAAAATGCGCTTTGTTTAGCAACAATTTAAGGAAAGAAAATAATCTTAAGATTTCTAGCAAAGATTAAAGTAACTGCAATCATTATACTTGAATTAATAACTTTTGCAAGGGTTATTTAATTCCTTTTTTCATTATTTATATTTATAGTTAAGCAAAGTAAATCATTTTTGAATCTTTGTTTAGTTCTTTTTATACTATATATACTATAGCTATATTGTATATAACAATTACCTAAGTAATTATATTTTATATTCTTCGTATTATTATTATTTATATTTTTCATCTACTTACAAGTAGTTTCCTGTTTTCCCGCTGCCCAAGCAATGGCCAGGACTATGAGCAGGAATATGTGTACCACACGGCGTATACGTAACATTTTGATATCCTTTCAAAGCGGATTTCTAGAACGATTGAAAAGGCTTCTTCGACTGTATGAAATGCCGATGTTTCTGCTGGAACTGCTGACCATCGACTGCAGCCAGAGCCATCAAGTGGCGAAGGAAGCCTTTATAGAGACACGATCGAGATGGAGATGAAGGTGTATTTGGAGATGGAGATTGAGATTGAGACGGAGATGGAGGTGGAGATGTCGATGTCAATGGTGATGGCTATGGACTGGTCTGGGATGGCGGACGGCTGTCTGGGGCGGCGATTGATGCGGCTTTCGCTTTCAATTTGTGACAAATTCATAAATAATTTGACTTGATTTGATGGCTCTTCAGGCAGAACGCTAACAAAGACATTTGGTTTTGTTGATTTCGGGTTTTTTTTTTTGGGATTTTAGCTTTCAGCTTTCCAGCGAACGAAAGTTACGGGGGCCGTGAACCAGAGCTGAGATCTATTGTTCGACTGACAAGTGGATTGGCAAAAAAACAAAATAAATAAAGCAAAACTCCCACGTAGATAGATTCGATTTTTGGTTGTGTGACACATTTTTCACCGATTGAAGTCAGTTGAAAATATATTGAAGACTCTTGACACCTGCAGCTGCACCGAAAGCATCTTAAACTTTTACTTTTTTCCACTTGATCTTCGCTGTTAATTGCTTCATCTCTGGTTATTTTCCCAGACTCACGGAAGCAGCGCTCGAGCTTATGTAAAATTAATAAGAGATAAAATAAATTTCGAATGAGCGTAAAACAAACATCAGAAACGATTTGTTTTTTAGAGGGGGAATCGCTTAAAGCGAAACGCAAAGTAAAAGTGTTTCATTTTGATTGCTTTTTCCCGAATTTCGATATTGGCTTCTAATTGATCTCTGCTTGGGGGGAGAGGGCATTATGCTAATGAATTGGGTACAGAAATCGCTCATTCTATAAACTGAAGCCGCCCTGATCAGATCTGGGTTAATATACTTTCTCTGCGTTAAACGAGGGGCTTTAGTGGAGCGTTTTGCAAGCAGGTCTCCCCAAAGTAATTCCATTTAATTAACTCGCTCTCACAATGGAAGCTGGTCAGTTGCCACAAATTTGAATGCAGCTGTTGAAAGGGCTTTAGTTTGTTTGTTTTTGTTTGTTTTTTTGTATTTCCATTTTGATTGCAGCTGTCAGTACGTGTATCTCGTTATGTGCTTGTCGTCGTTGCTCTCTGCGTTGATTATCTTGTAAATTTGTTGCACGTTTTGGGCTGCAAATCCGCTTGTCATGTCCACACGCACACTCAGATATACAAAAAAAATTACACAAGTGATGTCATCACCTGCTGCAGATACCAGATGTTGATAGAGATGCATGTTTATGAGAACAAAGGGTTTAGTGATCAAATCTCTGAATATCTTTCTAGCTCAGTACACATTCATCTTTATCTTTAAACTCTTAAAAGATACTTTTCTTGGCTTTACCTTTGCATCTTTTGAGTCTCAACTGAGAGCACAGAACGACAAGATAGACCGCATTGATCGAGCCACGTCTTTCGGTTATGACGCATGTATCTGTACGTGCGCGTATCTGCTAGATACATGTGACGTAACCGCAGACGCAGCATTACTTTTACCGCTCTCTTTCGCCCCGTGGCTTATTTATGGCTTTTTACGTTTCGCTGGAATGTGAGATACCTCACTCTCTCTCTCTCTCTCTTGATGCCGTCTTAGGGTTCGTCTTCTGCCGCTTATACCGATTGACCTCAATTAACCGCCTGCCACGCCCAGTTACCGCATTTTGGGCCCAGACCCAGACCCAGCCCTGCCCCGCCACGCCCCCTTTCACCACCGCAACGTGGAACGCCCACCTGTCAGCCACTTCGATTGTTCGCGCATTGCCGTCCGACCACAAAAATGAATGCCGCAGCAGAAATTCCATTCTGGCCACTGCAGATGATACTTGGCCATTTAATCCAGAGGAGGGGAGAGGGGAGGTGTGTGTAGCGGGGGGCATATGGAAAATTAAACTCATAAACAATGGCCAGGATCATTTTGTGCACTATCCCCACCCCAAACAAATAAAATGAATATATTCGGTCAACCGGAAGTTTATGTTAGTTTGCGGAAAAGAAGACATTTATTGTGCTGTTCTTTTTTTGCACTCTTTTGAAAAATTTTGATTTATATTTCAACTAAATTTCAATATTCAATTTTATAATATTTCCCCCCTGCTGACTGGAAATGGTTACTTTACGGTTGGTTTAGTTTTAAAAAGTATTTTTTAATTACATCCGAAGAGGGGAAGTGTGTGAAAAAAGGGGATTTTAAGGCAGTAACTTTCCTAACTTGAACAAGTTTATGAATCATATAAATTTGTTCTAAAAATATTGAAAAATATATAATAGATTGCTTGGAATACAAATAATAATAACAAAAAACCATCTGAACCTATCAAATATTATATTCTTTATAAATCAAGCTACTTGAAGTTTATAAAGTATTGCAAGAAGTCAGAAAACTTTTTGATTATTGCAAAGTTTTAGACTGTATCTTTTCTGCTTAATAACTTAGGAATATATTATATATGAATTAAATATTTCTTGATGTATTTAAAAGCTTTATTAAAATAAAGGTAAAATATTTGATTTACTAATTTCTTGCTATATTTAAGCACTCTCTAAGATATTAAAACCTTAATTTTAATAAAAACAGACTTAGTTATTACTATATAACATATAATCTTAAATCCTAGGTTTCCCTTTAAAATGACTGATTTAAACACATAAAAGTACCAGATATACATGGAAATAGTTTGTAATTATTGAATTTTCATTTAACTGTGTTTAGTTCAAAGCAAAAAAAAAATATAAAAATCAAATTCACATTAATTATGTTGCATTTCTTGTACGATTTATGGTTACAACATTTCTGGCCACGTGCAAACTTGGCTAAATGGAATTTGTTGTCTGACAAGACCCCTTGTTGTGTGGCTCTGGATCCTGTTATTGTTACTATTATTGTTATTTTTATTGTCCTAGATGACCTTGTGTGTGTGTGTGTGTGTGTGAGTGTGGCACAAAACCAATATTTGTCTACTTGTGCCCTCAGCAGCAGCTCCTCTTTGCTCTCGCTTCATGTTGATGTTTGTGCAATATTTACATGAGTTATTTGCAAACAGAATATAAATATGCCAATATTTAAATAAAATAATAGGCTCTCTCTGAGAGTCAGGATAGAAATTATATTTTCAAAAAAAAATCGAAATCGTTACGAATTGAGTTCCCAGTGAATGTGATTAAGGCTATGGACCAATCCTCAGATTGTAATCCATTTTGCATCGGCAAGTGAGTGTTGTAATTGCATTTCAGTCTTCGCTGTCAACCAGAAATGTGGGCAGTCCCTTTCCTTATTATTAGGGCGACTCTATGAGTCGGAATTGCGAGGAATTTGGACCATCCGGCCAATGTCAGCAGTTGTCTGTTGCCGGAGATAAGATTCAGGGCTGAAAGAAGCTGAAATCCGACTCAGCCATAGTTTTCCGAGAGCGAATAAAAAGAAGGAAAACTGTACTGTACTGTGCTCTGTGCTCTGCGAAAAATATGCAAATAAGCTTTATTATTTGACAGTTTCTATAAAATGCAAAAGCCACAAAAGGCACCACCAGCAGCAGCAGCAGCAACAACTTCATCAACGTCAATGAAAAGTTTCCGTGCGTTGGGGGAGCCGTAAGCCAGCCGCCCTCCTCTTGGCCATCCGAGTGTTTTGGCCCAGATTCCAGGGACTGTGACTGAGATCCCGACCCCATTCCCATTCCCGTTCCCTGTTCCCCGTTCCCTTATCCATCTCGGCACCCACATCGCTCTGGCTTATATGACAAACTGAAATGCAATAAACAAGTTGACAACTCTGACAATTTGGACAAGAGAAACATGGTAAATGCTCGGAATTATGACAAGCGACGAGGAGTCGAAGGCCCAGGACGAGTCCAGGGACGAGTCCTGGGACGAGGATAGCGCGGAAATGGCCGAAATGCCCGAAATGCTCACAAATGAGAGCAAACAAACATAGGACATAAAGAATAAGTAATAAGCATGCAAATGCGTCAAGAGAGAGCGAGAGCAACTCTCCAGATGCATATACAAAAAACGAGTCAGGACGGCTCCATGGGGGATATCTCATGGATAAGAGATACTTTTTTTTTGGCTTAATTACTCGAAGGAAGCCCTGGGATTCCCCCAGCTAGCCCCCTCTGGCCTACAGTATCCAAGCAGCATCTAAGTATCTGTCGGTGCTTCTGGCCAACTATAAAGGGAACCAGATACCAGATACACTTCAGCCGTTACGGCAACTTTCCAGGGCCCAGTTGTTTTGTTGCCAAACTAATGAAAGACCTCCCATTCCCATTCTCGAGATGGTCCATGACGTTGCATAGAAAAATTACAATCTTGATTAGCAGAAAACTCGTTACTTACTTGCTAAAATCTTTCATGGAAATCCCAAAAAATAGAGTAGAATTTGACTCTTTACAATGGATTTTCGACCTAATCACGTACTGGCAGTGATCTAGATTCTCACAAAAGCAAGGCTATAAAAATTGAATAATCAAGGCAAGTCTGCTGACGGTTTCTGCTTTAAATTTTCCAGTTTCAAACTTCCTTTAAGCTTTACTAAATTCAATGTCGTTTATAATTACTGCAAACACACATAAGTATTCACTCGCTTGGTTGTGTTTTCACAGCATCGATAACAAAATAAATGGCTCACATTTTTGGCCCCATGACCACCCAGAGGTTCTTGTGCATAAATTTATCTGCAACTTGGGTCAAATTGATTTGCGGATTTATGAGCATTAAGCTCTATATAGTATCTGCCAGATGCAGAGATAGTTTTTGATTTTTGGCACAAAGCAAATAATTATTTGTGCCTAAATATTGAGATGGAATTTTTTGTTTTTGAAGTGATTTGATTAAACTGCCGGCAACTAAATAATTTTATTTACTCACTATTGTTGGACGCTTGCTGCTGATTTGTTTGCTGTTCGCTGCTGTTGCTGCTGCTGGGATTACAAAGTCAACACAATGAAATTGACCAACGGCCGACGGTCGTTGTCATTGTCATCGCTGCGATGTTGCTGCTGCTGTTGCTGTGTTGCTGCGATGTTGCTGCTGTTGCTGCTGCTGCTGGGGGGCAATATTTTGTTTGCCTTTTAATTGTTTGCCCCCCATTGTAGCACCAATAAAATTATGCAAAGCCCCGTCGCGCAATCGATAGTCAGCCATCGATTGCATAAGTTTCCTCTAGGGGTTCGCCAATTTGTTGCACTGAAAAAGGGTAGCAGGTTAAGGAAAGTCACACTGCAATTTCTAGGGCAATTTATCAACAAAAAAATCAGAGCACAACAATTAGTTAGGTATTTCTATAATAAAACATGTATAGTTTCAGCTAAAAACGTGGGCAACTTGGTGCTTAACCCTAATTTCCCCATAGAGTCTCTCATCTTTTTGTGTCATCTAAAAGGTGATCAGTCTTTTTCCCTGTGTTCACCCGATTATAACATCACTTATTTTTTGAGTTATGAAAAAATGAATGTTATGATGCCCCCGCAAAAGTTATGATGGTCCACGGGCCATTTTCACTGATTACTGGTCCGTCGCTCCGCTGATTACCAACGCTTTTCTTTTGACCAATTGAACATAGCTGGAAAAACATTTAATCAGCGGAGCAAGCGAATCTCTTTCGTTTACCTTTCAGCTTAGCCCCTTTATTTTTATTTTTATTTTTTGTGGTGTTTACATCGGACCAATCCCGGACATCATCGGACCCCAGTTTATGCAACCCCAGTGTTAAGTGGCCCATTGTGTGGGTAATTGCATCATGGAGTTCGGGGTTCGCGGTTCGGGGATCTTTTCCCCTCCAGAAAAATGAAGCTCACACAAAACTATGTTTAATATGTGCACTTGCACTTGGGCCCTCTGCCTTTATTTTCCAACGTACTTTATTTGTATACCCTTGCAGGGTATTATAATTTCAGTCAGAAGTTTGCAGCGCAGTAAAGGAAGCACCTCCGACCATAAAAAGTATATATATTCTTGATCAGGATCAACAGCCGAGTCGATCTAGCCATGTTCGTCTGTCCGTCTGTCCGTCTGTCCTTCTGTCCGTCTGTCCGTTTCTACGCAAACTAGTCTCTCATTTTTGAAGCTATCTAAATGAAACTTTGTAGTTAGCCTTCTATATACTCTCACTCGTATATATGTCGGAACGGGCCGGATCGGACGACTATATCATATAGCTCCCATAGGAACGATAGAGAAATTAATTCAATTAAAAATTATATCGTTTTCAGTTTCAGCAGATTTTTATCAAATTTGAGATATTGCCATTTTATATCAGTCTTAACTTTTGTGTCAAATTTCATGAAAATCGGACGACTATATCATATAGGTGCCATACAAACGATCGTTAGATGTGGAGAAAAATGCACATCTGTGACTGTAAAACTGCAAAAATAATATAATATAAAGGTGATTGAAATGAAAGCAGGTATTGTTTCATTGTTTTTTAACATAAATATATATATTTTATATTGTATGGATTCCTAGTCATCGAAGTTCTATTTGCAAGGGTATATAACATTCGGCGTGCTTGTTTTTTATTATTTCTTTTTTTTGGTGTTGTCGTTGTCGTTGCAACCATTTCGGTATTTGCATTTCAATTATGCACTGTGACGGCGACAGAGACCCAAACTCTGGCAAAGACCAAGACCAAGTCTAAACAGACAACAGGTAGACAAACAAAACAGTCCACGGGAATTGGTGGAGGGGCAGGCACAGCATCCCGGGGAGTCAATACCAAGGCTGTTGGCAAAATTTGAAAATATAGTCACACGGAAAGCGAACTTGAGATACACTTTATGATAAATTTAATACTGATCTTTAAGAAAAGTAAATAAAATTAATATAAGAGATATACATTGATACCAGAAATATCCTATATATCGTATAATATTATATTATAATTCGATTTAAGGTTACTCTTTTTTCCAGCTAACCTCTTGGGAGGGCAATCCTCAAGTGAAAGGTGCGGAAGTGCCTTGAGAAGCTCTGCAAAGATGTGAAAATATTTGCATACGCAAAAATGTGGCAAGGAAAGTGTGTGTGTGGAGGGACGACGCCCAAAGTCCGGGACAGTATCCAGACCCAATCCGCAGACATCTCCTGCAGCTCTTTGGTAAACTTGTGTGTGCCAGCGAGTGTGCAAATAAATAAGCAGAAACATAGTCGAGTACTTGTGTAATTATGGCAAATGTTATTTGATTTTGGCACCCCATCGCCCGCTCCCCTATCCCCCCTCTCTGGAAATGGTAGTATCCACCGTGAAGACCGCAGTTGCGTGCTCCAAATTATAGTGGATGCGATGGCAAACGCGGGGAGGGAAAACTCTGGGAGCGTGAGCCCATTGCCAGATATTTGCACTTTTCGAGAGCGCCGCCGCTGTTTGCACTTTCGCCCAAATACCAATATGTGTATATATAGTACACACAGCAACACTCCCACCTTTTCACAACGGGCTACTTGGCCTGCACGGCAAGAAATTGGATCAAGGCATCAACAAGGTCACACAGATTTTGGGGGGTTTCTTAGTGGGGTTTATAAGCAAAGAAAGAAAGAAAGAAGAAAGTTAGCACTAAACACCAAGACAAATTAATTGTTAGTTAAACTTATACGTAAAAAATGAATTACAAGTTTAACTAACAATTAATTTGGCTTGGTATACAGTGTTAATAATAATATAATATAATATAATATAATATAATATAATATAATATAATATAATATAATATAATATAATATAATATAATATAATATAATATAATATAATATAATATAATATAATATAATATAATATAATATAATATAATATAATATAATATAATATAATATAATATAATATAATATAATATAATATAATATAATATAATATAATACAATATAATATATTATAATATAATATAATAATTTTAAAAATGGATTGTAAAGAAATTCCTATAAGCAGGCTTATCAAAATCATTATAAACAAGAAAGATGGATAGCGAATTTTGGTTTACAGAAGTTCATATACCCTTTAGTTCGCACTGAAAAAATACCTTTATTAAGGAAATTATACTCTATATTCTTTATAAACTAAATACTATAAATATAAATACTATATATAACCTATACATAATACCATATACTAACTACAATGAGAACAGGACTTCGTTAGAAGTTATATTCAGTTTTCTTAAGACCATAAGGATTAGAATTTTCTTATAATATTAGAAGTTATATCCAGATTTCTATAGAACTCTTATCCCTAGAGTTTAATTATAAACCTAACTAGATCTTCTCGACTATGGATGCTCATATATATTAATATATATCAAAGACTTCAGTTTCGACTATAGTTTTCTTTATGGATTACTTCTCATAACCTTGCTCACTTCAATTTGAAATAAAAATACTCTACAACTAAATATATAACTTAAATCCTCTACCCAACCATAAAATAATGAGTTGCTGGGTACTATATATTCTTTTCAGAAGAAGTTTTCAAACTGCATACACTCAGAGTCGGGAAAACGAACGGGCTTATGACATACTTATTAAGCACAAAGCATACGGAGGAGCGTAATCAGCTGTTGCACGACTCGATGCCCCATGCTCCATGCCACATGCCCCATGTTCCATGCTCCATTCTCGATGCTGAATGCCAAGCTGCTGCGACTCTTAAAAGTTGTCATGACAGCGACTCTGTCATGGGTAAAGCACAGTGGTCACAAATAATTAAAGCCGAAATTTATGGAATTTAATGATTCAAAGGAATAGTTTTTAGCTAACTATAAGTACATATAACTAAAAAATTTCTCTAAATAATTATAAATTTAATAATAATACTATGCCCTTTAACCTCCCACTGTACTTTTAGACTGCGAATCTGGAAATGGATGTGGGTGAGTGGGTAGGTGGATCGGGATCTGGACCTGAATGTGGGTTTTGTTGGTGGGTTGATGGGTTGGTGGGTTGGTGGTGTTGCAAGCAAACAGAATGCCGCACGCCCGCTGTGCTGCAACTGCATATTCTCCAGTCTTTGGCTATTTGTGAGTCTGGATTTGTTTTTGAAATTCTACCAAGTAAAGGGAAATTCTGCCAAAGTGAACAATGCCACGGCTCAGCGCCTCACAGAGCCGGGATTCGGCCTCAAAATACCTGCAAATTAACCATACATCGAAGGGACGTAGTCAAGCCGATTATGAAGGAACTTAAACGAAGGATAAGGTTTATAATTAAGGATTCCTTTAGAGCCAAAGACAATGGAAGTGAAAATACGAAGTCTGAGTCTTGTTTTGTTTTCGTAATCAAAGCTAAGATTAAGGCTTAAAAATTGGTAGGGATGCGGGCATTCAGATATATGTGGAAATTTAATATTTACACAAAACTTAATATTTTAATTAAAAATAATGACTTTTTAATAGTTTTGTTTATATAAACATTATTATTATGCACTACAAGTTAATCAACTATTGCATGTTTTGATGATATTTGTATTAAACTTTCGGTTTTAGAGGTATTCCCATCCCAATATTTATCCCGCTGTCTTGTATGGCAAGTCTTATGTCAGGTTTCCCACTTGTTGGATCGCCAGGTGATCGGCTCACTTTGACGAGTTGTTTAGATTTTTAACTTAACTTATCTATCTACCTGACCGGCCAATAATGAGACGAAAAAAATTAGGTAGACAATGGTCTGAAATCGACTGGTGATTGTTCACCTCTCCACAGGTTTTGCCCTCAAGCCTCACCTGAGTTTTTCTCAAATTAAGTGTGTGCACTGAAAATAATTTCAGTGGAAATAGAGATCAACGAGAAAGGTGTAAAAGCAATAAATAACATTTTTATATGGTTGCATCATTATATTATTATAATATTATTGTAATATTAATTTATTATTATTGCAGAATATTATACTTTTAATCAGAAGTTTGTAAAAAGTCTAAGAGGCACATTCGACCCTTGATCATCATCGAAAGCAGAGTTGATCAAAATATGTTTAGTAAAAATAATAATAAAATAAAAATAAATTTACTACATTTTATTTAAAATTTTAAAAGGGGTTACATCATTAAAATTGTCAAAAATTCAAGAAATTAAATAAAAACTTTTAATTGTGTATGCAGATTTATTGACCTTATTAAAATTAAAATATAAAAGGTTTTTAGTTGTATATTTAAACCTTTTTGCGAAGTTATAATTGTTTTAAAAATGTGATTTCTTCGCAATAATTATATTGTTAAATATAGACTTCCTATTTTCAAACTGTGAAGGTATTCAAAGGCTTATCGAAGTTAGTTTCCCTTCTAATATTATGGTTTATAAATTATCTGAAAAATACTTATTAAATTCATTTTGATTTTTTAAACGTATTAAATTATTTATCTTGTGATCTCTCAGTGTCTCTGCTGTTAATCGAAAGTGAGGGGTTCAATGAAATTAGCTTGAAAGGCGAGAACCCGCGAAGGGCACCGCAAGGCGTTGGCCACTCAGCAGCAAACAGTGAACACTGAACAGTGAACACAATAATGAAGAGTGAACAGTGAACAGGGAACGGTAAGCGATGAGCGATGAACAGTGAAAGTTAATTGAACACATGCATACCTGAAATGAAATGGAAAACACGGCTCACAACGGAACTCTGGGCCTCAGCAGGCTACCTGGCTACTTGGCTACCTGGCTGATGGGGCTGGGACTGTTGCACAAGTGATTAACGATTGCAGATGACAAGCTGCTCCGGACTCCGGATGACATAAGCGAGTCCAAATCCCAAACCCGGAAAAATTGTTACAGCCACGAAATGCGGTGACAATTTGTTCAATTTTTGGAACCCTTTTGCACTTGGCAAGCCTTTATTTGGTTTGTTCGGTAAGCTGGCAAAGGGTTTACCAAAAATAACAAAGTCAAGTCGAGATGTATTTAAAAAGTGCAACAGAAACGAGTTAGTATTGAAATATGATGTAGAAAATATATGGTATTGAATAACTGAATATCATAATTTAACTCTAAGGAATATTAATGGTTAAATGTTAAATAAAATTAATTAAAGAATTGAGAATCTTGTATGTTCCTTAATAGAACCTTGATATTCTTACTTTATATTCTTATATACTTGGTTGATGAATATTAATATTAAAAAATATATATTTTAGAAAGAGTTCAGCTAAAATTTTTTATTTTATTATATTTATTTTTTATTTAGTTTTATTTTAAATATTTAAAAAAATATTTTTGAAAGAGTTAGGGTGAAATAATTTCAAAATACTTTCATAACCTTAAATTCACTTTAATTTGAGACATTAATCAAACGAATCTGTTCACAATATTTCATATATTTCATTACCAAACTATTCTCAAAAATGGAAATGTAATAAAATAACAAAGGAACCATTTTTTTTTTGAGACTAAAAATATGATTTTGTGTTTCACAAATATTGCAGAAATATTTTATACAATAACCCATTTACCTAATTTATTGTATTTGATTTCAAGACATCATTAAGATATATATTAAACAAAAAGGTTATACTTTTTAGCCCAGTTTTTTTTCTACCTGTTCTCTCTGGTTTTTGTCTCGTTTTTGTCAAGTTGTCAGAAGCTGAGTTAACTTTGATTCGATTTATTCGACGTATATCCGCCCTTCTGTCCATCCGAGGGAGCTTTCACTGTACGATCTCGACAGTTGACCACATTTTGTGCAATGGGTGAAAGTCGCTGAGGGCCAACACTTGCTGTACGTTATGGCAAATGCGCGTTTCTTTTCGTTGTTTTGTTTTATTTTTATTTGGTTTTTTTGTTATTTTGGCCAACATGAAGTCAGTCAGTCAATGGAGCGATATGTGTGTGATGTTTACTCTTGGGCGGCTGCATAATCCCGTCTCGTCTGGGCTGGTTTGACTTTTCAGATCTTTGGTATTTGTTTTTTTCGGGTTCGAGATGTACATTTATAATTTTGTTTTTCGGCTTGTGGCATTCGCTTCCGCGTTTAACACCTCTCCAGCCATTAATATGGTAATTTATGGCCGAGACAGCAACGCAACATAAATCTGCAACAGCCCAAAGATGGCCTGGGAAGTGTATGTATGTTCCATGACCCTGGTTTTCCCATGGATCTGATATTCGTTATTCTCCGAACAAAGTCAAGTGTTGTAATGAGAGGAATCCGCCCAAGAACCCGGCTCTGCTCAGCATTATTGGGAATGCAAATGAGATGCGTGCGCCCAAATTGAAATGGCAAATGTTGACAGCGCCAACATAGAGCCAGAAATTCAAAGTTAATAAACGAGATATTTATGTAGGAAGTGCTCAGGTTGCTGGGATGTGTGAGTTAACTATGCAGGTTCCCTACCCCACAGCTGAATCATAAATACTAGATATTTAAGGGAAAGACTAAGGTGGATCAATAGGTCAGGTTCTTAAGAGGCACAATTATTGTGTTCTATCTGGGTTTAATGGGAATTCGAATACTAAATATATCTACAGATAATAGATCTAGAAACAGGTGGTTAGTTACTAGGTTTGATTATAAGTTATCACTAGATTTATATACTATTGAAAGAAATAATCATAGTTATGATATATTTAATATAGTAAGGGAGAATCGATTGATTTTACGATTGTATAAAGTTGTGTAACTTATATTGTATAAGAAATATTTAATTATTAATTAATTTTCCTAGACCTTTTTCCTGGGCACACCCTAATCCTACAGCCAAAGTTGCCTCTGCTTCCAACTGCTGAAAATGACATAAACATATTTATGAATTTTCTATTTTGCATTGCGTTTTTGATTGTCCCAAGTACGAATATGAATGAAAATGGGCGTAGAGGTGGAAATCCGGGGAGTAGACTCATTTGCATTAGGCCCCAAAGAAATACCAATGGGTTCCAGAGTCGGAGCTCGAGTTAGAGGCTGAGATGGAGGCTTCTGCTGCTGCTGATTAACATAAAATTAAGCGTTCGAAAGGCATGCGGCAATGGGCTTTCGGAATCCGTATTAGCAGCTCCGGAAGTGGGGGGAAGTACGGGAAAGCACTCTGGAACGAGTCGCAGGGCTGGGCGCTGGCTGATAAGCCGCGGCGCGGCGATAAGCGCATTTAATTAGCATTAATTAAAGCGAATTGCGAGACTCGGGCGCAAAACTAATAGCAGCAACTGAAATAAACAGGCACAGAGGCAGAGGCAGGCAGAAAAGGGGAAGTACCCGGGGAGCAGTTGTGAAAGCGGAGCAATGCTAATAGAAATGACAATTGTGCTCAACAAATCGATGGTTTATTTTTTGGAGCATTCGCCCACAGTGGAGGTAAGGTATGTAGACCGAAAAATGGGATTAAATCAATCAATATGGTGTTATGTTATTGGCAGTGCTATACATATTCATATATATAAATTCATACATATGTATAAATATAATAAAAGTAAACAAAATAATGTTGTTTAAGGTATTTTTCTTAGCAATTTTAGAATTAGAATTGTTGGAATTTCTTTTAAAAATATTAAAAATTAAGTTCAAAATTTTTTCATACTTTATTCACTTTCATTAGCATTTTTGTATAAACAATTTTGTTCCACTGTTCAGCTTGTGACTCATCGAACGCCAAATTAATTTATCAGTATCTCATAATGTTTCTACTTATTCCTATCATAGATCATTTGGACATAACCTACAGGATTTATGATCAATATTTTAGGTGTATATACACCTGCAGGGTATTAAAATTTCAGTCAGAAGCTTAAAATACAGTGAAGGAGTTATTTCCGACCCTATAAATCATATATATTCTTGATCGGCATCAACAGACAAACCTTTCAAGCAACCTTTGACAAGAAAAATGTTTCAAAATTTTCAATTAAAAAAAAAATGATAGGGGTTCAGTCGTTAAATTTTGAAAAAAAAAATTGAATTTTTTTTAAATTTAAAATTAAGTATGCAGATTTATTAACCACTTAAAAACTAACACAGAACAGCTTTCCGAATCGAAATTAAGGCATTTTTGGCTTAGTAATGGATTTTTTTATCCTTGAAACCCAATGTAATTATTACGTATACGTAATATCTCCCCAACCAACACAGAATATATACGTATACGTACCATTGTCCTTCAGACCCCGCATAATTTTTCTTTTAAATATTTAAAAATAGTCTTTCAATTATTTATTTTGTAACTGGGATATAGATTCATTTATACCGTTTAATAATCTTTTTACTTTCAGTAATTCATTTATAATTTTTACCCCCTTGAAGACGATTATAGTTTTATTCAGAGGCTTACAAATTAGTAATGGGATTATTTCTGACCCTATAAACCATATATATTCTTGATCAGCACTAACACGCAATCTTTCTAGCAATCTCCGGTAGAACAATAAATTTTTGAAATTGAAAAAAATATAATTGTTAAAATTGTCAAAATTTGAAAAAATTTTCAATTGTTTTAAAATATGTAATTGAGTATGCAGATTTATTAACCCAAGAAAAACTAACATAGGAAAGCTTTCCAAATTGAATTTAATGCTCTTTTGGCTTAGAAATGAGATTTTTAATTTTAGATTTTTCGTAAAAATTGTCTTTAAACAAATTCTATAAATATTGATTCAAGTTTTGTTATGATCTATTCCCTATTCGAATAATTCAGTTACAAATTGCAAGGGTATATATAGTTCGACTTCCCTGAGTTTGTTGTTTTTTCCTGTTATTAATTATATTCATTTAATTCAATGTAGAAATTACCAAAGATAAAACTAATCTTAAGGATAGAGAATTTAAGAACCTAACTATATCCTATGTCAATAAAATCTTTGTAAAATAAAAAGATAATGGCTTAAGTACTTTAATAAAAATAGTAATAAATATATAATTATATCAATAATATTTTCTTATGTTATAATATTTATAATATTATTAATTCAACCAGCAACCTCTAGTTATTTTCCACTAAAGAAATTATTGCTGTGTACCTGCAACACCTGCGAAGATCGCTTTGTGGCGTCTTCACAGCGATTCGACGCACTGTGCGCCTTGCGGCAGAAGAAAGCGGATTGCGTAATACCTGCGTCATTATATAAAGCGATGCTGAGAAAGAGACAGAGAAGCAACGGAGAGAAAGAGAGAGAGATGGACTGGGACTGGACCCGCATAATTGTGCGACTTCACCTGAAACCGCGTAGCGCCAAGGGCCTCTTTCTTTCTCTCTCTCTCTTTCTCTCTCTCTCTCTCTGGGTGAGGCCAGGGCGTAGCAGCTACAAAAAATAAATAAATAAAAAAATAAACAAATAAATAAACAAAAAAAAGAGACCAGCACCAGCTCCAGCTTCAGCTTCAACCACCTTAGCTCAGCAGAAAAAAAAAACACCTCATGCCATTGGAATGCAATTTCACTTCTTTAAATATTTTCTCAATTGTTTTTTTTTTTTTGTGCGTGTCGGATTGGGATCTGCCTTGGATTAGGTTATCCCACTATGGAAGCTCTACTGTACCTCCAAAATAGCTACAAATATAAGCAACTTAACAGGCAAATAATACTTAATTTATTGAGAAATATCACAGATTGCTTTCAAAAGTAAATTATGTTGAAAGAGTCAGTGTTTTGAAATCTATCTATACAAAACAAAGTTAGGATAGTCCCTGAAAAAACTCACTGATATAGCACCTTACAGTGAGATTTCTTCACTTTTCAGATCATATTATCAATGCATTCAACTATAAGGTATATATGGCTCTTGTTTCAAGAGTGTAAGATGAGCCATAAAATGTTTTTATGGCTCAGTAAATACCAAACAATCTAATAAAGTGGTTAATGTTGAGTTGTTTCACCTTTTTTCCCGAATTAAAGACTTGAATTTCCCTTTATAATCTAAGAAATCCATTTAAAACTTAAATTTCAGTTGTAAATTATAGATAGCAAAGTTCACAGATGACTTTTGGTGGGTGAAGTAAAAACTGACCCTCAATTTTTGTATAATAAATCCAAACTGACTAGACTTTAAATCTATTTTTAAGATAATTTAATGCCGTTTTCCGACTAGAGTTGGGCAGATTTTCATTATAATTTAATGTCGTTTTCCCTTCCTCACCTCCTCACCAAAACAAAAAAAGAGTAACCAAAGTGACGATCGCCAAGGAAAGTAAGTGCCAGCTGGCCTTACGAATGCCTGACAGAGCCAAAACCTGGTGGATTGACTTCTTTCTTTCTTTTTTTTTTTGGATTTTGAACTCTTATCACCATCAAGCTGAAAGCTGGCCCTTGGCGATGCACCCATTCAGAGCTTGGATGAAGCAAAACGAAAGGAAGGCAGACCATCAACTTGAGACCCAAGACTCGAGGAAGTAAAAGCGCAAATAATTGCGAGCGACCAAAACTGAATGAAAACAAAATCCAACGAGTGCTGATAGATATGTCTGAATATATAGGTAGGTAAGGTATGGAGATATTTTTGTAAATTTGTAATGACAAAGGCAAAGCGATGGACAACAGATGCGGCAGATAAATATTGCCACTTAAGTTGCATGTTGCTGGTTGCTAGCTTGATGTTGCTGCTGTTGTTGCTAGTTTAATGTTGCTGCTATTGTTGCTGTTGTTGCTAGTTTGATGTTGCTGTTATTGTTGCTGTTGCTGCTATTGTTGCTGTTGCTGCTGCTGTTTTTGCTGTTGCTGCTAGTTTGATGTTGCTGCTAGTTTGATGTTGCTGCTATTGTTGCTGCTGCTGCTGCTGTTGTTGCTTCTGCTGTTGTTGCTGTTGCTGCTAGTTTGATGTTGCTGCTATTGTTGCTGTTGCTGTTGCTGTTGCTGTTGCTGCTGCTGTTGTTGCTGCTGTTGTTGCTGCTGCTGTTGCTGCTATTGTTGCTGTTGCTGTTGCTGCTGTTATTGCTGTTGTTGCTCTTGCTGCTGTTGTTGCTGTTTCTGTTGCTGTTCCTAGCAACTGCGACTGGTCACAAGATGCAACAGCCAGGAAGTCCAAACTTGGCCGCAGCAGCAGCAGCAGTGAAATAACCTGGCCAGGAGGGAAGAGGGTCACCAAATGACCAGCCTTCGGCATTTATTTTTCTCGTCAATACCCTCGAAGAGAGTTGTGCGATTTGATACTCATCATCAGCATGAATTGATCATTATATAATCATTTTGCTTATGGGAAACTATTCAAGGGTATTTTGGAATTCGATGGGGAGAAGGAAAAGATTCCTCTGCAGGTTACTTTCCCGGTTTTCTGGCCTGTCTGGAAAGTCTTGCTACGATCATAATGATGCTGGGACAGAGGCTGAGGTCGGGGTTGCATGAAGATGATGTTGATGATGATGATGATGATGATGATGCCACCGTCAAGGCAACATACATAGTCATACATACATGGGAGAAAGAGACTTGGTTCCAAGAAATGCAAATGAAAGCGAAATCGAGTCACGCGAAGGCTGTCGCGGGAGGAAAACTTGATCTCTCAAGTGAGCCGAGAGTCTTTTATGACTCAACTTTGTGTGTGGAAGAAGAAACCGAAAACAGAAAACCCAAAACCAAAAAACCAAAAAAACCGGCGGCTATATCGGACATTGTGGCAAGTGTGTTGACACTGTTCTACTGACAGTTTGGCCCATTGAAGTCACTCATGAATATTGGCCGGCTTTGTGGCCCAGAAAATCAGTTGGTTTTTGACTCACATCACATTGAGTAATGTGTGTGGGAACTTACTTATGTGAAGGCCAAAGAATGTGGCTGTCATTAACTTAATTCTATTTGTTGTATTCTCTCTATTTTGTAATGGGTAGAAAGCATGTGTAAATTAGCAGGTATTAAGTAGGGGTTTAGCAGGTATTAAGTGAGGGGTTTTTTATGGAGAAAAGTAAGTGAATTGTAATTGAATTCTGTAAATAAATAGAGATGGTAAATAAGCAGTGATGGAGAAGGTTTGAATAGAATTAAGAAGGGAGTAGCTTATAATTTTTTATCACATTTTATAAATAGTTACCTGAATTTAAGTGTATCTTTTTTAATTTATTTTCTAGAAATAATAATCTAGAACAATTTCTGAATAAATAACTACTGGTTGTCCCTTTATTTTGAAACCAGTTCTGTAGTTATAAATTTGTTTTAAATATCTTAACAATAATAGATTAATTTTACATCTCTAATTACAGACTTCTTTACTATGCTTAATTTAATATATTTCTTAAATATTTAAGTACTCAAAAAACCCTACCTTTGCTGACATTTTGATTTTGGGAAAACATTTCCTGTCTGCCTGCCACCTGACTTGATCTTGGAAAGCCATTAAGCGTTCAAGGCTCTAAAGCTGAGAGCTTGCGAACTCCGAACTCTGAACTCTCTCGGGGGGAGATCCTCGATCTTCGGCGACACCTTGGAGGCAACTCCAAGGTAGCCAAAAAGGTACACAAGGTATTGAATGTGAAAACGTTGCCAAACTGGTCGCGAGAGGAATTACTGCAGCTCTCTCTCCGCATCTCGGTCCCTTTTGGGGCAAGCACTTGCTTATTTTTATTTCTTATTTTTTTTTTTTACATTTACGAAATTTCTTCACTTTCTGTTTCTGTTTCGCTTGAGATTGGGTTTGGGGCTTGGGCCTGGGCCTGGGCCTGGGATACTGATTCGAACTCGGACCCAGACTCCGATTCGGTTTTGGATTGAGATTCGGTTTGGGTTTCGGTTTCGGTTTCGGTTTCGAACTCGGCGCATCTCTGCGGCTGCGCAACAGCTCCGTCGGCAGCGACGCCGACGCCGGGTATTACCTATATGAGCTCGCGTTATCATCCGAGCGGCAGCATTTTCAACTCGCGAGTGACGAGCAGCGGACGTCGCGAGATTCGATCACGATCAACGATCAGTGATCACCCGGAATCGGAATCGAATCGAAATCGAAACGAAATCGAACCTACCAAAACCGCTTCGCGACTTTGAGAATTATTTATTTATTTAAATATATTTTTTGTCTTTGTGAGTTGAGTCCTGTGTGACGCATTTTTTTTGTTCGAGTGCTTTGTGTGCCAAGGATAACGAAATATAAAACACCAGCTGCTGGCATGGTAAAGAACTGCTTCCTAATTGGACTCGAGTGCAAAAAAAAATAAAAAGGATTATTACAAAAGGAAACTCAAACACGAGGCCAATTAGGCAACAAAAAAAATAAGAATATTACAAAGAGAATTATATAAGAATCCAAGGAAATTACAACACAAAACATAGATGGATGGGACTTGACTAGTTTTGGAATTAATAACCCAAAAGAAAACAGTTTTATAAAGGACAGAAAGATAAGGGAAAATATACCAAGGACACATAAATTATCCTTTTGATTGATAGTGATAGTTCAACTTTCTGATAAATATTTCCCCGCAAGACTTGTCTTGAAACCTTTAGGAATATATAATTAAATTCGATCTTAAAAATATAACTTATATACAGTTAGTCACGCCTGCGCCTTAACCCCATGACCTTGGCCAAACCACCTCCCCAAAACTAATTGATGAGGGTTTTTCTTCGGAACTCCTAATGAAAATTGATGCAGGACCAGAAAATGTGGGGAATCCTGGTCGGGATTATTCATTTGCCGGCAGGGGGCCATGTCTGCAGATTTAATTTATTCATTATCGAAATTGATTCATAAATAATTTCGCATTCTTAGGGAAGGGAAATTTAATTAACGCAGATTACGATTCTCGACTTTTGGAGCCAGCTGTGGCTAAAACTTTGCAGCACGCAGGGATATTGTCTCCCGGGCAACCCTTTGACCCGGTCTTTGGTCCTTTAGGTCCTTGGTACCTTCCTGGCCAAACTCTGGCCTCTGTGTCTCGTTCATCTTTGAATTAAATTTGCGTTTTCAGAGAGAGAGAGAGTGAAAGTTTTGCCGGCCATTTGTATGTTTATATGTTTATTTGTTTTTCTGCCGCCGCCGCTCATTTGTTTGCTGCTGCCGTTGTCTGCCATTGCTGTCAATTGTTTAGCATCAATAACAAATATTTGTGGCCTATGCTAATGAACAGAAATCGAATGCCGGTCGAAGCCAAGTTGAAGAAAGCGAAGGCCCTAAGCATGAACTGTGACCGGTAACAGGGGGAATACTATACATATAGTACAGCTAACATCAGGTTATTAAGTTCAGTTCATTATTCAATCATTAAGTCATAGATATACTAGTAAGCATTTTGTAGATTTATCTTACAAACAAAGTAGAAGTTGTAACCCAATGGTACTTTACTATTTTCTTGAGCACAACTGTTCAAGATTGAGCCAGTAGTGCTGGCCACATCCGGGTCACTTCACACGGTTCACTGAGACAATGGGCCACAGAGGCAGCTCCAACCGTGCCCGCACCTTTTAATTGTTTGCCATTTCTTTTATAATGTATTTTCATTATGCGGCGCATAATTTCACTGCCAACATTTGTGACACCTACTCATCCCCAGCCGAAGCGGGCGCAAGAGATGCGTGGATTGGCCAAGATACAAAGATACAAAGATACATATATATATACACGGCTCAAAGTGAAAGTTCACTTTTTGGCTCTCCCCGCAGTCTTCTTCTCCAGGGCCGCTTATGACATTTTAACGCCAAAACCAAAAAAAAAGAGTAGTAACATCTTTAGCTGGCCATTGTAATGCCAGTATTCAATGCGCATCGCCGGCCAATGAGCAGCATTTTTCCTACCACTTTTCTATCATTTTCAAAAGATCCCCGATAGCCACTATTGCGCAATGGGGGAAAGACCTGAAGATGGGTATATATACTATATATATATATATATATAAATATGGCCAATATACACAATAACTGAATGAAGATAATGGAGAGGCTTAAATGGGTTCTGTTTCTCTGAGAGTATAATGGTGTGGTAATAGTCTAATCAATAGTCTTTCTTAACAATATAATGTGGCTATATTTCTATTCTATATTCCCAAGTAATATATATATCTAAACTTATAATACCTCCTCCCTTAATACCATATTTTTTCCCTACTTATAAATAGCAATCGAAGCTTTTTCTTCTGAGAGCAAATCAAGTTACGATTATGATCACAAATCAAGTTACATGATCACCTTTTAAAGCCCGATTAGTCACCTGCCAAAAATCCCCATTTAGATGGCATAATTTAAGTCTCATCTTGATGATGAAAAAAATCTACCTTCACCTCTTGCATCACCCCAATCACTTTCGTTATGTAAGGGCATTCCAACTTCGTCACATTTTGCGGTCGCCTTATTCGCGGCTAATTCGCTTGGTTGTGAGCGGAATTTTTGAAAAGAAGCGCCAGCTGATATGCTTTCGGCCACTCTCGAGTGGCTTATTTGTTGTTAAACAAACTCGTAAAGCCAATTAAAGTGCTTTCTGTGCCTTGTCTGCATTTCGCCGGCACGAATCGCCAAACTGACTGACTTACTGAATTATTGATGATCATGAGTCGAAGCACTGGTGACATTCATTCCGTCCATGTAGCTATGTATATATATCACATGACGATGATGATGACAATGATGATGATGATGATGATGGCTAATGACGTCTGCAACGTTGGCCGGGTTATGCTTTAATTAGAGCGTAATACGGGTACGCAGAGAGTGCCAATTACACCACGCAACAGGCCAGGCTCTTAATGGCTCTATTTGTGGCCAAAATAAAATTGGTACACATGCAACGATTTGTGCCGACATCTTATTTGTTTGATATAATAATAATTAGAAATTTGTTAGCTAATTATTAAGGGACGTTTTAAGAGGTTTATTGGTTATAGGAATTGGTTAAATAAATGTAACAAGACTTTAATGACCTTGTCACATTTTAAACAAATGAATAGAAAATGTCTATTTAAGCTAGAACAATGATTTCAAAATCTTAAAATTGGTTGAAGTCAAGTCTATAAACTTAGTAAATTATTACATTTAATTAGTAAAATGAAGTAATAAAAACTCTCTTATAAGAAACCAACCTAGAAATATACAAAACCTGAGATTGATTGATTAACTAATATTATAAATTACATTACAAAATATTCCCCTTCAAGAGACCCCAATTATAAAGCACTAATTAAATTTCCTGCATAACTTAGTAAACAAAAATAATTGTTTACATCTGAAGTAACACCGAAATGAATGTCTCAACCCTCGATTAACCATTATTTAAGTCGTGAGTTTGCTGTTCAGTGTTGACCAGGCCAGAAAATTGAGGCTGCTGGGTTGGAAGTTGGCAAATTAGCGTAGATTATGGCTGCTACACATACCCCAACGACATTGGTTGAAAACGACACCTGACAAAAGCCAACGGAATAAACCGAGAACCTCTGACCCGTGATCCGGACCAAGCCTTGCCTTGACAGGCTGACAAGTTGCCGGCGGTCAGAAAAAGGTCACCGAGACAGTTGACAAATGAAAAGGCCTGTTGAAGGGTTTGAGGCCACCGTTGATGGACGGAAACTAGAGATAGCCTCAGCTACCAGATTTCCAAGGAAGCCATTTCCAGATAACTCTAGAAATTCAGCTTAGCTTTAACTAGTGACCACTTTCTAGACTCAGAACTAATCATTAAACTTCGATATCCCACAGATGCTGCTTCGTGTGACATTGCTGGCCACGCTCTGCTTCTGTGCCGCCCAGGCGGTGCTGAGTGGCAAGGAGCTGAAGCGCCGTGAGGCAGGATTCGATACCTATGGACCCCCACCAAGACCTGCTCCTCAGTATGGACCACCACCGCCACAACATGTGCCCCATCGGGAGTACGGTGTGCCGCAGCAGATACCCTTCCGGGAGTATGGTCCTCCGGCTCTGAAGTATGGTCCACCCAAGTTGAACTTCTTGGGAGGAGGAGGAGGTGGAGGTGGAGGCGGTGGCTCTCTGCATGAGCAGATTAAGACCCACTTTGGTGTGCCCAAACCCTTCTATGGGCCACCTCACATTCAGCACAAACCGGCTCCCCAATACGGACCCCCGCCTAAGCCTGCCCCACAGTATGGTCCTCCTCCCCAGCCTGCCCCTCAGTATGGTCCTCCTCCTCAACCTGCCCCCCACTATGGTCCACCTCCGCCACAGTATGGTCCACCACCGCCGCAGAAGATCCAGCATCGTCCGGCTCCACAGTACGGACCACCAAAGCCACAGTATGGACCTCCACCACAGTTGCTGCCCTCGCCACATGCCGCTCCCCTGTTCAAGCCCGCCCATCAGCCGGCCACCTCCTACGGACCACCTGCATCTGGACCGCTTAACCTGCCCCACAAGCCCATCTATGATGCACCGCCTCCGAACTATGGCCCTCCGCCACTACCCGTGGCCCTGCCAGGACCTCCGCCACCGGCCACTACCATCATCCTGCAAGGAGGACACCACCATGGTGGACCCCCCACAGGACCCAGTGGCCCTGGACCAGTGAAGCAGGTGCAGATCCAGATTGATGCCTCGGGACACACGCACAGTGTGAGTGGCTCTCAGGCGCCATTCCACACGGCTTGCGATGGCTGGAAGCCAATCCCAGCTCCAATTGGTGCCTACGTGGAGCAGAACCACATTGAGACCCAAGGTGGCTACAGTCAGGTGGCTCAGGGACATGGCGGTGGCTTTGGAACACAATACAGTGTGGGAGGATCTTCGGGAGGATCTGGTGGCAGCATCATTGACGGACTCTCGGACGAACAGCTCGTGGCCGTGGCCCTTCAGGTGGAAATGATGGTGCTCAGGTGATCACAGGACCCGGTGGTAACTCCATCGAAACGGAAACTCTACAGGTGAGACTCCAAATCAATTAAATTCATTTAAAACTAAATGAATAAATTAATATAATTTTGGAAATTTACAGGCTGCCATTGGCTCCCTGGATGACTCGTATTCCAAGCCGCCATTGGACTCTTTCGATCCCCGATCGGTGCATGCCCAGAAGTATCAGACAATTGGACACTCGGGACCACAAGGAGGAAACTATGGACCCCCGCCACCTCCTCCCAGTGGCAACTATGGACCTCCACCACCACCTCCCAGCGGCAACTATGGACCCCCGCCACCACCACCCCAGTTTGCAGCTCTGACTAGCAGTCACTCCCAATCCCAATCCCACTCTCAGTCGCAGTCCAATGTGAACATTCAGTATGGACCACCTCCCTCTGGAAACCCACAGCCCTTCCCCCAGCATGGAGCTGGTCAACCCAATAAACCGGTGGCTTATCGCCCACCCGTGCCCGTCGGTCTGTTGGAGTCCATTGGAGCCACTGTCCAGCATCTGGATCAGTTTGGAGTGAAGCCACCACAACAGCCTGCTACCTATATTCCCCCAGCTGCCAATGAAATAGCTCTGGCTGGATCTCCTCCAGCTTTGCCTGCGCCTCAGGCTCTCTACCAACCTCCTCCACCACCACCACCTCAGTCTCATCAGGTTATCCTGCAGCAGCAGCTGCCTGCTCCTCAGCCCGGACCCGCCTTTGGACACCAGAAGCAACAGTTTGGACCCCCAGAGCCCCAGTACTTGCCACCTCCACCACCGCCAGTGGCCAATGTGCGTCCCCTGGGACCACCGCCACCGCCCACCCAGCAGTACCTGCCAGCTGCTCCTCCACCACCAGTCTTCTTCCAGCAACAACAGCAGCAGCAGCATCACCATCACCACGCGGAGAATAGCTACAGTGCCTCGCAGTTCCATGCCCAGGGTCTGCCCCTGCCCCAGCAGGCGCCACGTTTCAGCCAGCTGCCCTTCCAGCAGCAGCAGCAGCCTCAACCCATCATTGTCCATGACTGTGGACACGGCCCCAATGTGGTGAGCAGCACTGGCTACCAGGTGCAGCAGCAGCAGCAGCAGCACTTTGGCAGCGTTTCGGCTGCCTCCTCGGGAGCCTTCAATGCCATTGCCCAGAGCATTCCAGTGGCGGAACAGCACACCCAGCAACTGGTTTCGGGTCCAGCGGATAGCTATGGACCACCACCATCTGGCAATGATATTGATAGCTTCGATCACACTGGCTATGCCTCGCAGAAGAATGCGGTGGCTGCCCTACCCGATGGCACTGATCCTCAACAACTTCCTGGCTTAGATGGACTTGATGTCCTCTCGGCACAAAAATCACAGAGCATTCAGTTGGGAAATGGCCAACAGCCTTCACAGAACTTCCAAGTGCAGTTCGGGGGATCCCTGAACAATGCTCCCGGTGTGTCAAGTGGTGATGCCAATCACGAGGAGATTCTTTCCCAGGGTCTACTGCAATCGATCCTCACGGCCATTGAGCAACCCCAGCAGCAGCAGCAGCAGCATCTCCCCCAGAATCACAAGGCCCAGAGCCGCTCCGATGATCATGATCAGCAAGAGGATCAGCAGCAGGCGGATGACCATGAGGAGGAGCAATCCGTCAGCTCATCCACTCGCGTGGAGGTGCGTGTTCTGCCCGAGAATGGCGAGAACGAGGAGGAGACACCCGCCGAGGTCAAGGAGATCGAACCCATTGTGGTCAACGATGAGGAGGCCAAGCATTAGTCAGTCACTAGTTAGCATCGAACTCATCAGCGCCGCTTGAACCTATTTATTGCTGCCTCATCCACGGATCCCCGCCTGCGCCCCCCAAAGTTGCCATAAAGTGAAAGTCCAAGGGGCGCCAGGAGGGAGATCTCCGTCACCAAAAACATCAGATCATCATCATGTCACAATCATAAAATCACAAAACAAAAGAAGCTACCATGGACAAGGGGGAGAGGCATGAAGCCACCCCGCCACAGCTCGTGTATAAAAAGAAATATTTAAAGTAAATAATTAATTTATTATTACATTGTATTGTACTTTATGCTTTAAAACAATAAATAAATATGTATACAAACGAAGACGAGTCTGTGGAAAGCTGCCACCAAGTGCAAGCTGCAAGTCATCTTGAATCAGAAAAAAGGAAAACAGAAAACCAAGTGGCCCGGCGGCACATCTGGCCAAAACACAAAGAGCCCGGTCGTTGGCCAGGCCCAGGGCCAAGACGAAATGGTAGAAAACCCTGAGAGATCCGCTGAGTTCATCAAGAGGAAAACGATTAGTTACATAGTAACATTCAAAAAGTAATTTTGCAATATTTCAAGTTAAAAAACCTTTTGAAAAGTTCACAATTCCTTTGCAAATATTCTCTTTAGGAAACAGTTTCTAGAAAAGGTCTTTCAAATCTCAAAAATCCCTTAAAACATTCCCGGGAAATTTAAACCCTATCGCATCTCAGAGAAAAAAATAAAAGAAAAACCAACGCACAAGGTTAATGAATAATTTTTCGACTATTCTGAAGGACTTCTTCACTCCACCTCCATTTCCACACCTACAAACTCATGCTCAATTCTTATTTTTATTCCTTTTCCATTTCCCTTTCAAATCCCTGGCATCCGTTTCCGCATCCGTATCCGTATCCGACCTTCCCCCACGGGAGGAGGAATGGGTCGTAGAACAAGCAACAAGAAACAATAAAAGACATAAAATTAATTAAATTAGCCATAAACAAAGCGAAAGGTGATTAATTAACTAGAAATTTATACCGTTACATAAGCGAGGCAAGGCGGCATAAAAGACGTGCCGAGCTGAGGGGTTTTTCTTTTTTTTTTTTTGGTGCGAGCTAAGTGTCCTGGAAGGTAATGAATGGGTTGGCCGGAGTCGGAGCTCTCGTCGCCTTATTTGCCCATTCATTAATATTTTGGTTGTTTCAGTTCTTCGTCCTTCGTCCTTCGCCCTTCTTGCCGTATTTCTGATTTAACCAACTTTCTACCTGCACTGAGAGAAGTTACGAAACCTAGCCACTTTCATCAAAAAACATAGATTTAAGTATGATAATGATTTAAAGCGAGTTTCCTACACACCTTCTTTCTAAGCCCAATATATCATCCTTATAGGGACAGGATAGGGTATACAACCATCGACTTGAAATGACTTAATGTCCACTTTTGCCTTCCACGAAGCCCCTACCTTTGTTTGCCCAGCGAAAGGAAGTCTCACAGGACTCGTGTAAGGACTAAAGGAGAACACGAATCGGTCGCGGGGGAATTTGTGGACTTTTAATTAATGTTATTAAAAAGTCAAAATGAGCAAGACAAGGCATTGATGGTTGTTCCATTTAGGTTAAATGGCAAAAGCAATTGCTGAAATTGAAACTGAATAAACTATTAGGAAATCAGGGAGTTCTAATTGTTTAATAATGAAATATGAAATACAACTTGTTTCATATTATATACCTTTGCAGTGTATTATAATCATAGTCAAAAACTTACAATTTTGTAGAGAAGTTATTTCCTTCCCTAGAGAAGGATAAATAATCTTGGTCAGCATCAACAATCACTTTCAAAAATTCATTCAAATGACACTGAAGATCACATATGGTGGAAATATATCGCCATTTTAAATTTTAATTGAAATATGAGTTTTCTTATATTGATATTTTGATATGCTAATTTTTTGGGTAAAAAAAAATGTTTGAAATATAATAACCAAGCCAAAAAAGAATTATTTTTAAATCGGATAGCATTTCTGTGTTAGTTTTTATATCGTTTACAAATCTGCGTATTGAGATTTAAAATTCAAAAAATTAAAAATTTTGTTCATTTTTTTTGACAATTTTAATGATGTAACCCTTTATAAAATTTGCAAAAAATTTAATAAATTTTTTTTGCGCCTAATATTGGCTAGAAAGATTCGTCTGTTGATGCTGATCAAGAATATATATGTGTTATAGGGTCGAAAATAATTCCATCACTAATTTGTAAGCCTCTGACTGAAACTACAATCGTCTTCAAGGTGTAAAATGATAAATGAATTACTGAAAGTATAATCTCCTTAATCTGTATCCCATTTATAAAATAAATCACTAAAATTAAGACAATTTTTAGATATTTAAAGGAAAGATTATTCGGGGTCTGGAGGATAATGGTACGTAAACGTGATATTTAATGTTGGTTGGGACGACGTTACGTATACGTAATTATTTTTATTTATATTCGGAAAATTTTTAAAAACTTTATTTTTCTGCTGGAGATTGCTAAAAAGATTTGCCAGTTGATGCTGATCGAGAATATATATACTTATATGGTCGGAGATGACTCCTTCACTGCGTTGCAAACATTTGACTGAAATTATAATATCCTACAAGGGTATAATAATGTATCAAGATTTGGAACCAAAGTTAGGGTCAGTTTTAAATTTATCAAAAATGGTAAGAAATCAATATTCTACAACAATTTCTAAATAAGTTAGGCTGTTTACGTTACACTTTGGATATCATCAATACAAATTGCTGTAGCACCTTAAATTATAATTAAGTAATGAGATTTATGGTAATAAGGGAATTAATTGAAAAATAAATTCTTAGTTAGCATGTATGTATGTATGTAAGTGATATAATAATATAATAATATAATATATAAATGATATAATAATATAATATGTATAAGATATAATTGTCATGATTAAGACTTACCCCAGTAGAGGACACGTCATTGTTTACTTCCTTCCTTGCTTAATTAGGGTAATTATTGTATCGAATCTCGCTTCCTGTTTATTCAGTTGCATTCCAATTCCAATGGCCACGTCATTCTTTTCAGGTCGAAGGCTAAAAAGTTTCACAATCACTATCACGATGTTAACACTAGGTACCCCTAGGACAGACTGAGCTCGCGGCGATCGAAGCGCCTCTATTTATACTTCCCGAGGCAAGAATACAGAGAAAGAGAGCGAGAGGGAAAGAGCTACCTCTGTAGCTGCAACAGAGAGAGATAGAGCGTAAGCGTCATCTCTAGCGCTGCAGCAGAGGGAGGCAGGCATACCTAATGTTATTGTGAGTAAGAAAGAGAGCGAGAGACAGAGGCTTATAGAGGCATACAGAAGGAGAGGGCAAGAGTTGGCTATTCACAGCCATTATAATACATATTATGATAGTATATGAACCGAAATTACCTTCCGCCAGCCAAAATTTGTTTACCATTGCAAATTGCAATTCGAACATTAATTATTAATTTTTAATTATTATTAATTTTAAAAATTTAATTATTAATTATTATTATTATTTTATTCGGAATATTTTTGAAAAATTTTTTTTCTGCCGGAGATTGCTAGAAAGATTGCAATTCAAACATTAATATTTACAGAAATTGATTATTAATTAATTAATTATTATTTTTTTAAATTGAATTATTAATTTTAATTTATATACAATTATGTTAAAAGATTCGTTAAAAACTGAGAGAGAAGAGCAGAGTTTGCATAAAGACTGACAGACGGACAGACAGGATGGATAGATCGACTTGGTTTTTGATGCTGATCAAGAATATACATATGTATATATACTTTATATAGAGGTGCACAGTGGGTTAGAGAGGGATAGAGGTGGAGAGAGCGGGAGAAAGCTGTTGATGCTGATCAAGAATATTTCTACTTAATAAAACTAAAATTATAATACCCTGCAAGGGGTACAAAAATACGAAATTATCCATTTCCCGGGACAATGGGAAAGCTACAGAAAGCTATTATATTATTATATTTTCTATTTCTTATTATTATTTTTGTTGTTATCAAATGAATACTTCTTTTATTTTATTTTTACAAGCAGTTGACAGTATTTACTGTGGCTCTCCCCGATACTTTTATATATATGTATATATCCATTAACTTTTGCATCGCCATTGCTGAAGCCAATGCCTGATCGGCTGCCAATTGTATAATTTTGTCATTTCAGTCAGCGAAAAGTGCAAAAAATGTAATTTGCAGCAACAATTGGGGGAAAGTGGTATTTTGATTAATCGTCGATTTGCATGCGAATGCGGAAATGAAATACAAAAAAAAAGAAAGATGAAAGCCAGCCAAGAAAAGCAATCCATATAAAAAGGAGTAAACGGAAAGCAAAGTTTTATTGACTATGACTTTGGGATACTCTTTGAAAATATAAAATAATAAAGTAAATATGGGAAAATATTTATTTTATATGTTAAATTTATTATTTATTTATTAAAAGGAAAGTTTAGTATTTATATAAAAAGAACTTTTTATTAATTGCCTAATTTTTGTATAGAAATTTTTAAAGAGTACCCAAAGTTTGTCATTAACTATAGCACTTATTCCCTTAAAAAAAATGTATTATGTTTTTAATTTAATTATAAAATTATCAAGTATATTAAAAACAATCTCTTATTCTTTTATCCCCCGAATCTACCCCTTGATTAAAGTGTATCACCAACAACTTCCTGTTACATTTAACAGGCCATGGAAAACCCAGACCAAACGAGTGGTAGAAAAAGGAAAAAAAAGAAGAGAACCGAATCAAAATAAAAATAAAAATAAAAATACAAAAAATACAAATAAAGAAGGAAAAGAACAACGGGCGGGTATAAAAATGTGTTGATTTTTCAGCATTTCCCAGCATTGGGCCACAGCTTGGGCTTGGTGTGTTTACACGGCGTATACGTAATGCGTATACGCAATGCGAATATGAACAGTGGCTTGCATACTGCTATTGGTCCACCACTTGGTCCTGAATATGGTATATATGATGATGATGATGATGCAGACCCATTTGGTAACCATTTCAATCACTTTGCTGCTTGGAATCGATTCCGGATCGTCGGGAAACCCCAACTAGATCGATCACCTTGGACCGTTTTGCTCCTTCTGAAGCAGGGAGAAATGGGGAGAAAGTGTAACGAAGAGGGAAATGCGACCCTAATTACAGTTAATTGGTGCCTGCTGGGTTTGGGCTGGGGGCGGGGTGGAAAATCTGAGGGAACTTTCACGGCTGATGGGGCGATGCTTATACGCACTGCGCGACAGGGCAAAAATACACAATTTTCCACTTTGTACTAATCAAGAACTCATTATCCTTCATTATGCTTTTCAAGTTGCCGTGTTGGCGACATCCTGCAAAATGCCCCTCATCCCCAGTCACCCCTTTTTCACCATTCTCCGCATCCTGATGTCGCCAGAGCAGCTGCAATTGCAATGCGGAGATGGAGTAAGGCGAAACACTGCAAGAAAATACTTCAGTTTTTACCATTTAAAGTAAGATTTCTATAAGTAAAAGTTCAAATTATAAGAGTATATAGTTATTATTGAGTTACTTGTTTGTTAATAGGTGTATTTATCAGCTCCTGAAATCCCTTTTTACCCTTTTCTTGCCGTGTATTGCACTCCCCTCTCTCTATATTATCCTTTAGCCTGGCTCCACGGGAGCCATCATTCATGTGGTTGGTCCTGCTTTGGTTTCGTCCTGCTCAGCGAAAAAAAACCGGTAAGGGAACCCGCAACTGCTGAGCTTAAATTATGCACAATTTTATAAATGCCACGGCAAATGTCGACACAAATACACTCGGTATGGGAGCGAGGAACTAACTGCAATGGTATGCGGGATCAAAGGATCAGGACACACATGAGCACTTAGCCAGGACGTGACTGCGGTCAGCATAAATAACAGGTCAAGGCGCTGGACAAGGAGATGCGGGCACAAAATGCAGAGTCCTGTAAGGACCCTTTGAAACGATGTATTTCATTTTGAAGCTCAGCACTTTAGTGGAAATATAAAAAATATATTATATATCAAGTCCTTATTTAATGCATAATGATAATTAAATAATTATCAATTTACACATGCATCTCAGACTTGTTTTGGCGCCAAGTAACTGGGCCGATACAGAGCTTAATGTGCCTTTAATGGCCAGCTCGAAAAGGAGTTGAAAAAGAGCATTGAATGCTCGGCAGGACACCAACGGAGGAGGCAACATGAAAAGCGCTAATAAAGTGCACTTGTCGCCGCCGCACCAAAGGCGAAGACCATCAACTAATGGCCGCTGGCCAGCAAAGAGTCCAGCTTCGGCCTAGAGTCCTGCTTCCTTCGTCCTCCCCCTTCTGCCGACCAGGGCGTGACTGTGGCCAGGAGTAGCCTTGTTTACTACTTGCCATAACAAGGACACAGAAGGGGGTCGTCGTCGGGGGGATGGGCGTTTCTAATTTCAGTCTGTGGCGCATAAATCTTGTCTCGAAGAGAGAAAGGGAGGGAGCTGACCACCCACTGCAGTTGGTTAAAATTATTGTTATTGCTGCGCGAGTGTTTGTTAAAATTTTTGCAATTAAGTTTCCCCTTCTTTCCACTATTTGTCGTTGAGTGACCTCTTAGCAGAACGGCCGGCCCGTGACCTTTGGCCAAAGCAAGGGGAGGGGAATGGAGGGTGGCATACAGGTGGAGCATTCAGTGACTGGCTGTTTAATGACTCCACGTAGTCGCATGTGTGGCACACTTCATTAAATGCGCATATAATTTGCGAGTCTACCCCGCTGAACCCTCTTTTAATTGCCCCAATGCGGCGGGTCACGGGGTCGTGGCACCGTGGAGCAGGAACAAAAAGTCCTGCGGCCATATAACTATGCCAGTCAAGCAGGCAGTCAGTCAGTCAGGCAGAAAAGCTAAATTCTTTATATACTGAATATATTTAAGGAAAAAGGTTGGGGGATACTAAAAGCTAATATAATATGTAGCATTTATTTACATTTCTCTTTCCCTGATTATTTGTTAACTCAACCACTTAAAGTCAGTGTAATTATGTTGGCAAAATATCCCCTCACTCACACAAACCACTGTGCTTAGGTCGGAGCTCCAACCCTCAAGGCTTTTCTAGACCATTTTCTTGTTTGTTTTATTTGCAATTGCATTACAAAGTCACAGCTGCCGACAGGTGCAAAGGGCAGGTGTCCCTCCCCCACCGAAATGTTATTCATAGCTGAAGCGGAACGAACGCTTATTACACCTTTTAATTGGGAATTTATGGCAGGACGGAAGGATGAGAGCATGGAGAGGTGAAGAGGACCTAGAAGCGGTTAATTTACAGCTTTTTTGTATATACCGTGGAGCATCAACCCCTCCTTTTTGGTCCTTGGAGCATCAACCCCCTCGGTCAATTTATGTCGCCCACCTTCGACCTTGAGGGATAAGCAAATAATCCCCTTATAATTAGCAGCAAAACAGGACGGGACAAAAAAAGAAAACGTTGACAACAATAGTCCGCCAAGTGGTTAATGTTGAGCAAATTATTAAATTTTTGGACCACTCCTTGGAGCAGGCACTGAGAGAAATAAAGGGGGGAGAAGTTGTAATGATAATATATTTTAAAACAGCATCACTTAACAAGTTCTTTTTAGCTTGTTTCAGCTTTCTATCCTGCTTATATTTTCCCTCATTTTATTCTGGTACTAAAACCCCTTTGAAATCTTTCATATTTTCTTAGAAATTAATATTTTCTTTGGCCTTTTTTCTCAGTGTCTTTTTAGTGGGGGCCTGGCCGAGGTCTTTGGGCCTAGTCGGGCCATAATAAGATTAAGCAGGCAAGCGGCGTGTTAATTTATGGCCAACAAATATGCTCGACAAAACGTTTAAGCAAACCGACTTGCCCCGAGACCCAACCCTAACCCCTCCCACCGCCAAAAGTCAAGGTTGACTGCCCTTTCATGGAGGGGTGGTGGGTGTGGTGGGTGGCAGGTGGCCTTACTCGCTTAGGCTCGCTTAAAAAGTTGTAAAATTTGTTAAAATACTTGAACGCGTCGAATAAAGAAAGCATGCGAAAAATTAAACGAGCGTAAATAATATAAAAGCAACGACAAATGGACAGAGAAAGCAGCGGGGGGAAGATAGCAAGGGGGTTCCCCCAAAAAGGACACCCCCAAAATAAAGGCAGTGTAGTGTGTATACACACAGATAGCAGCTGCACGAGGCCAAGTTAAGTTAAGAGGAATTGGGCCAAAATAAGGTCTGCGGGCCACAGAAAGATTACGCGAGAAATAAAATGTTTTTGGAGGCTCAGATGAAACGAGAGAGAAAAAGTAAGCCGGACAGGATAATAATTATATATAATATATAGTACATAAAAATAGAGCAGGTTATGGCAGCCACTTTTTGTAAAAAATAAATCAATCTACATGGCCCAATCAGCGTTTCTCGATTAATTCCCAATTAAGTTTTTTTTCGGGGGGACAGGGGATTCCCCCACTGGAGTCCTGCGAAATCAGATGGCACTCGGCCAGCGTCGAGTGCAATCAAAATGAGATGCACAAAGCCAGAGCCGCATTATCCAATGTCCCTGACATTGTTTGAACGGATATCCTGTCCTGTCCCTCATCCTTGCTCGCCCGTTAAGGTCCTTAATGAAAACTGTCAGACAATGACAGCGATTGCAATCGTCCTGGCCCCGCCCTGTCCAATCATCTGATCGGGGGATATTGTTATTAATATTTCATATATGATGCAGGCACGCAGGTCCCACTGCAACTCATTATGAAAACATTTTATATAAAATTTTCGATTAAATTCGCCCAATAAAATAACGTTCAAATAATTAAGTTAATATGCCGAGACGACGGCGGCGGGGGGGTTGGAGATTGCATTTTATTTATTGGTTATTTACGGCCATTTGCATTTACATCGAATACCCAGGACCTGGCCAAGGCGGCCACTTTCAGGTTTCTTTCGTCCACGATCCAAAAAGCGTCATGCATTATGTAAATTAATTTAAATGCAAAAAAAAAAGAAAAAGGAAAAAACAATGCAAAATGAACAAACACACAGACAGAGGCAGTCTGACAGTCTGAAATTAAATTAAATAAAACATTCGAAGAGAGAAAGAGAGTGGATGCTGCGGTGAATGACCACGGACAGCCACGGCGATAGATTGTCTTGTGAATTAAATTTTAATTACAATAAATCAAAATGTAGACAACAATGGGACAGGACTTTAAAAAGGATATAAGGTGTAGCAAACTTCTCCCTCTTCATAATCGATTCGTTTTTGCCAATTTTTCACACCTGCTTTTTGGGTTGCAATAACTTAATTGCCTAGTTGACATCATTTTATGCAAACACGAGCCACATGCACTTTTAATTGCACATCATCAACAGAAAAAAGCGTTGCATAAATTATATATGTATATATATATTTCTCATAATATTTTTTCCACACCAGTGTTTCTCTGCACTCTAATTCCCCCCCAAAATTCATTTCGATGTGTCAACAAATTTTGTGTGCTATCAAATTAAAGGCGGTCGGAATTCCCAATTGAAAAAAGGGGACATGAAATGGCCAAATGGCCAAGAGCAGAGAGGGAAAATAATGGCCAAAAAAGAAAAACTGGAGGAAAGTGCGTGATAGAGCTGGATTTTAAATAAAAAAATAAATGGCTTAAAGGTGAGTCCAAAAATATCAAAACAAAAGCTTTAAATACTCTACTTTAAATCAAAAATAAAGAAATTACAATCGTAAATCGATAGAAGTTTTTAAAAATTAATTGTTTACAATTAAAATGAATCTTAAATCGAGACAAGGATTTATTGCTCATTTAAAATACTTTTAAAAATTAGTTGTTTATTAAATTAAAATGAATTATATTAAGAACGATACTTGTGATGATATTCATGCACCACACAGTACTCACGCTCTCATCTCTATTTTGAAATAAAATATGCAGCATTTGAGTTTTAATTTTTTTACACCTTTATTGAATTCATATTTTGTTTTTTGTTTCCTGTTTGAATCTCTCGTTTTTCGGTTCAAATTGCCTGTTTCTGACTGGGAGTGTGTCTCGTGTGTGTCATGTGTGATATTCGCACAGTTTTTGGTTATTACCTTCGTTAATTTCCTTAAACCTATTCAATTTAATCCGTAATTTTTGTTCCACGCGATGGTAGGTTTCCGTTCTTTTAGCCCGTGTTTTCGTATTAATAGTTTTTTTGGTTTTTAGTTTTTGTTTTCTGTTTTTTATGAAGTTGAAATTGTTCAAAGTGTTTTGTTCGTACCTCCAATTGGAGGTCAACGGCAACGCACATATTATTTACCATGGAATTCGTCATTTCATTTCATTTTTCTTATTTAACCACATTAAAATTGTTTGCATTTGTCGACATTGTTTATGCCTAAAATGGTATTTAACATATTTACTTTAAAATTGTGTTTTTTTCAGCGCCCCTTCAGCGCGTTCTCTCTGTTTGCGTTTTCCTATAATTAACTCTACTGTGAAAATAACCAAGTAAAAAAAAAAATCCATCAGATGGGTAAAAAAACAAAATGATATATGAAAAAAGAGCTTCATAAAATTAATATACACATTTCGAAACGAATACAAATACCATAATGGGGTCAACACATCTTTAATTATCGCTTATCATTTACATATTTATATCGGTTTTTCGTTCTTTTTTTTCATTTTTCATTTTGTTTAATTACAATATACTATATATTCATAGGTTTAGCATCTGTAACATGGACTTTATTTCACCTTATTTTATATATATAGAAATTGTTGTCTTTCTTGTCTGACGAATGCCTCTTCTGTTTTCTGTGTGTTTTTTTGGTTTTTTTGTTTTTTGGTTTTTGTTTTCGGTTCGATATTGAATTACATTCAATTACTATAAACATTTAAACACTCTTCCAAGTTTGGCTTAGACTAGTGCTGGTGAGTAGATATAGTATAGGGGGAAATCGATTTCTGATACAGACACATTTACAAATGCATTGACTGGGACTTCTCCCCGAGAGAGAGGGGGAAAAATGGTGGATAATGGATATTGATATCGATCATTAAACTCGGGGGAGAGCCTCGCATTTTTTGTTTTTATATTTTGGGGATCTGATTCCTTTGATTTGGTTTTGGTCTTTTGGTTTGGGGGACTTGTTTTTTAATTCGCTAAACGTCATCAATCACATTTATAAAATATACCCTCTCCCATTGCTACTATTATAGTTATGTTTGAATATCCATAAATTACGCTTAGTACAAAGAGAATCTAAGTGTGTCCTTCCAATATCCTTTTTCGTTTTTTCTTTACTATTTTTGGTTTTGTCTTAGAGCGAAGTCGAATGAGAGTCGGGCTTTTTGGGGGGAATGGGACAGGGTTAGACCCTTCTCTTGGGGTGGGATCACGGATCTGCTGATTCTAATTCTGATTCTGATTCGGATTATTCTATATCTTCCTTGTGAGAGGGACAGTTTTAGAGTATATAGAAGTATAGATAGAGAGAGAGACCGATAGATTGAGATAGAGAGAGACTTACTTAAATTACTGGATTCGAATTAGTAATACGCTGCTTCGGATACTTGATTAGCTATCAATATCGATATCTTTCTGCGGTTTTTGTTCCGTCAAACATACAACAATAAGTAATTATCGCTTAGGCCCTAAACACACGAAAATGCCCTACTTATACTTGGGCAGAGATTATTATTCTGATCTGATCTAAAGTACTTATGGAGAGAGCCATACTAAAAAAAATACAAAAAAACATGATGTTACATAGGCTAATTTGCTTATATTTACACACATTTAATTCAACAATCAATCGTTAATCCTAACCTTCGTCCTTCTCCATCCATTTTAGCTACTCCTCCTTCGTCATCTCCTGCCCTCCCTTTTCCTTTTCCTTACATTTTACTATAGTCTTGAACTTATCCTAGTTATACATAATACAAAAAAAAATTACTCCCCCAATCTGAAGGGACTCTGCATCAAAAGTTCTGCCTTCTGACTGTCTTTTCTATTTATTTATAATATGTTTAGACACCTATATGTACCTTATCCTTGTACTAGAGAAATGTTCGAGTCTGTGTTTGTTTTGTGTGTCGTAGTTATTGAAAAGTTGTTGGAAACAAACCGAAAATAGTTGAAGTAGATGAATTATTACACTCGACACTTGCCATTTACCAGTCAGCAGCACAGCGAGTCGATGGAAGCAAAAGTCTTGTCTGGTTTTTCATATTTACAGGGTGTCTTTGTGTCTGTCCGTGTCTCCTAATCTCTCCTCCTCACTATATCTGAAATCCATAGCTACATATCTTTTTATAGTTTATAGAAAAAAATCTCATCGGTTTACTTAATTTAGTGATAAAAGGATAAGCTCCACCCCCGATTTCTAGGTCGCAGGATCAGTAACCAACAAAATATAGGATTATGGTGAGATCGGTTTGGGTTAGTTTTCTTATGGAAGGGAGCCGAAAGAGAGAGAGAAAGAGCAGCGAACCTAAAATGCGATTCCAGTTGGCAACTTGGCACGGATCCGCTCTTCGTCACGGAACTATGTCCCAAGCAACGAACTCCTCCTGACCCCGTAACCAAAACCCAATTGATCTTGTACATACAACTCCTGATTTCGATTGCCTGCTCGTCCTGCTGTGGTTTCCGTTTCCGTTTCCGTGTCCTTTTCGCGTGTGCAGGATGTGTGATGGGCGGCTGCACTGCATCTGGCGGTCATCTGAAGGAGCAGCACTGTGCCGCTCGAGAGCAATGCCAGCGAGAGCCAGGCCGAGGGCTGGAGAGCACCTGCCTTGCCGGTGGGCTCTGTATTGCCGGTGTGCATGGCCGCCGGATGCTCACCTGGAAAATTGAAAAGAAAAGACAGGTGTTAATGTTAGGATAAGCTCTCTCAATCATGGCACAAACATCAAGAGACGAGCTCCATTTAGAGGTTTTTTAGGTAAAAAAACATGCACACAGCTTAAACAGTTTGCTAATCATACATTCCTTTGATACCCGATGACTCCTTTAAAATATATTGCTAGCAAACTATTTTAAGGACTAACATTCAAAGTTCTCCATTTTCGATTGTTGCAAAAAACGAAACAAAAAAACCCGAAATTGACTGGGCGGCCAAGGACCGATAAAAAACGAAACGGCAAGTTAATTTGGCAGACTGCATTACGGTCTTGCAGATCCACAAGGATTCGTTCGGCAAAGGAAGGACTCGCAGTAAGCGCCTGCTGCTGCCAGCTGCCTGGCAAATCCAGAAGCTTTATTGCCTATTAACTTAATTGCAGGCAATAAAAAAGACTCCCTTCAAACAGAAGCTACATTCCTGCAGCTGGCATCTATGGAGATATGAGTTTCTGAATAAATTGTATCCCCCGCCGAGGTCTTGTTTAAAATCAGCCATTACATTTGGCAATTATATAGTTAAGTCAGAAACTGTGTGTTCCTGCCAGGTGTAACATTGGATAACATATGTTACATAGAAATCGCGTGAAACCACTTCTTTGAATTCACACAAAAAAAGCTGGCAACCTACTTGAAGAAACTTGAATGAAACTTGAGTGGCTGCAAGGAGGAGGTAACCATCAATTTTGGCATGAAATGTTCGCGGCTTATCCTTGCTCCTTGATGGGACTTCAATTATCATGCATCGTTCGTCCTTTACGATTTCTTTTGATGCCCATCATGGGCTTTTACTTAATAACAAGCCACACTGTGGCACTGTGGTGCTAATACACCTAATAAAAACCACACTCTCTTCCCGAGCTGAATGTTGATTATCGAAGGCATAGAGAGTGTGCCTCGTAAATTGGTGAAATAACAAACAAAGTTCACGCGTGAATATAAAGTCCTGGTCACTGTTATTATAATTACAAGCAAATGCAGAGCAAGGACTCTGCAAGAGTATCTCTGACTTGACAAAATTAAGCGTTCTTTGCTGAATGTCCACTTATGACAGTCTCCTTTTCGTCACCAGTTCGTCCTTGGAGTACTCACAGAAGGCACACTTAATTGGATTTGGGGGTAGGTTTGGATTGTGTGTGCTCGACTAGGACTCTTGGTTCAATTAATGAAAATGACTTTGATGTGCGCTGTGCTGCGACTTCGGAGTCGAGTCGACTTTTGTGTGTGGCTAGGTGTAATGATCGCCTAAAATGGCCAAAAGTCCACACAAAAACAAGGAGATGCCAGGGCCCAAAAAAACAAATAAGTATAAGCGGCTTTGTTTCAGCTTTGATGCTGCTGGGCGGTATTATAAATAATGCAACAGACGAATGAGTACACTGAGGAATGAGTATGAGTATGACTAGGTAAGGGTATTTGTCATACAAAGATCTACAATCTGATGAACATAAGTTTTACTAAACTATAAAAGAGTTCTACATTGAAGTATACATTACTATTTCTTCCAGTGCAATAACTTCCCCAACTTGCAGCCAGGACAACAACTGCCTCAGTGCCATTGGTGAGCTCTCATTTCAGAGACACAGACGAACGATGAAGTGGCATTTGAAATTGAGAAACTACAAACGAAGGCCAAGGACTGAAGGACACTGGCAAGGACCGTGACAATGGCAGCATCACGCTTTCGGGGGCAACCGTTGAATATTCAATTAAATACTGAATGCACCAGTTACCCTTTGATTTGGCCAATTGCAGTGACAGTTTATTATGAAAGCTAAAATTATTATTATTGTCCAAGCACTCAAATCAGGTAGCAGCAATATGAATATTTTGCAAATTACACAAAATTTGTGTAAATGTCAGTAAGCATGATTTTATGCTCCAATGCCAAGTCACTTGCAGGACCATTGTTTCTATTTCTAATTCCATAGTGTCCTAGAGTCTCCTTGGGAAACAAACCATCAAAGCCAAAGAAATTAAGTCTGCATGAAATACGACTAAGACTGACTTGTGTAATAGAAGAAAAGAAAGCCGAGCTGAAAACTCATTTACTGCCTTAGGTATGCTTCGCCGCTCAAAGAGTTTTGCCAATTAGTTTCGTTTCCGGTGGTTATTTAAGGGGAACATTTAAAAATATTTCTCTATCTTATTTGCTTAAATATATTTCGAATTAAGTTAAATATTTGGTGACAAAATATAGATTAGTTTAAGAAATAATACATGCTTTCTTTTAAGATTTTCTCTTCGAGATACTCTTTCTCCCGGTGCAGTTTCCTAGATATTTGTAGACCCTTGTAACTATGATTAGTTAGTATCTATAAGCAGTACTTAACCGTCACCAGTAAGTAACTCTAAGTAGTAAGTATCAATGAACATTAATTAACTATGATCAGTAATTAATTATAAGCAGTAATACACAATGATCAGTAATTAATTATGAGCAGTAAGTAAATCTGATCAGCAAGTATTTATAACTAATAAGTAACTATGATCACTAAGTATCTATGACCAGTAAGTATCAATGAGTATTAAGTAAATATGATAAATAGATAACTATGTTCAGTAATTAACAATGATCAGTAATTAATTATGAGCTGTAGATAACTCTGAGCAGTAAGTATCTATAACCAATAAGTAACTATGATCAGTAACTAACTTTGAATACTGATAAACAATGACTTGCAACTTTTGTAAGACAACACATATCTGAGACTTGGCTGGCAGAAGTTACTTCGTTCCGGGGATGTTAGAACCAGTTGGGAATCATATGCACACATGTGCGAGATTTGTTTTGGAGCCAATTTAAGCTATTTGAATTAAACTATGGAGTTATTCTTCTATATAATTTTACTAGTATATAAATCGGAGCATGACAGATCGGTGGACTATATATATACATATATATAGCTGCCATAGGAACAATCGGAAAATTTTAAGAAAAATTATTATAACTTTTCAAGTTTTCAACAGATTTTCATCAAATTTAATATATAGCCATTATATATTAATCTAGAATTTTGTGTACATTTTACAGAAAATCGGACTACTATGTGTATCATATAGCTGCCATATAAACGATCGCAAAACGTTGAATATAAAACTATAAATATAAAATGTATAGGTGAAAGAAATGATTGTTTTTCAACACCAATATCATATAAATAATTTTTTATTGTACTAATTCCTATTGACCGAATTTCAATCTCCAAGGGTATACAAACTTCGGCATGCCTTAGTTAACTTCCTTTCTTGTTATTAAATAAACTACTTGACAGGGTGGTGGTATCACCCCCCTTAGTTCTGACCGCCTTGGGCCACCCTAAGCCTCCCTCCCCCCCCCCCCCCAAATAAAAGAGACACCCAACCCCCCTTTTGGGGAATCGAACTCCGGCCCTTTGGCACTTTTGCCCGCAACGCTGAGCGCAAACAACTTGTGTTAATTACTTAAGTTTCAGCAGTTGTTCCACTTAACAAGTTGCTTCTTCTACGCTGTCAGCTGCTATATGGCAACCACTGTATATGGCTATATAGCCGCTGCTCTTGTCCTAGCCCTAGTTGCTGTTGTTATTTTAGTCTAATTCCAAGACGCAGTTGTATTTGTTGTAGCGTGCCGCTTACACGCCAAAGTCATTTGCGCTCAAGTTGTTAAACTTTTTGCTTTGTAAGCACTTTTTCCGGCCTCAGCGGAAGCGGCGAAAGACGGGCGGAAAAGGCAGAAGGCGGAAGGCAGAAGGCGGAAAAGCGGTAGGCAGGAGACGGGGGGCGGGGGCAAAAAGAAAAGCCAAAGCTAGCTGAAATCCTCCGGCGAACTTGGCCCGTACGAAAAGTGAGAGGCGTCTGCGGCATAAACGAGTCAAAACTTGCGCAAATGTTGATGCCCAAAGTTTTTCCTCCCCCAACTAATTTCTTTGAAGGCGGAAATTCGAGATATTGGCTAATACTAAGCAACAAATTGAGCATATCCAAGCGGCAGAGTCAAATAAATTATACTTCTTTTCTTTCGAGAACTGGCCACCATGAATATGCTTTAGATAAATCAAGTAGGGATTGCAAGTCATACAAGTTTTATAGAAACAATGGGTGAAGGTAACATGTATTATTTATGGGGTTACAAGGAAGTAAGTCCAAGAAAAGTGATTGAGTTTAGTAGGAAATTGAAATCTTAGAAGGGTTTTTTAACAGAACTTTTAACGCTTTTTCGAGAACTAATAAAAATCATGAGGACTTTGCTTAAATATTCTTGTTTAAAGCTGTCATGTTACATTTTGGGATTTGTTTTCTTTTATTTGAAAAATATATTAAATTAAAACCTTGCTTTTGTTTTCTAAAATATCAAAACGCATAATTTCAAAACAATATCAAAGCAAAATGCAAGTGTTCCTTTTGCAAGTGTTCCGTTGCTCTGAGATTGCTCATACGCACCGTTGTCGGTCTAATTGTTGGTCAGAGTGCGACACACCTCCCACCACCACCACCACCCCCCTAAAGTTTCCAGGCCACTTAAAAGCCTCCCCTCTCCCCCTCACCACCCCCACCTCCCTGAGCTATCACTACGAGCTTTTAGAAAAAGTTGTCGTCAATCACTGGACGCGCTCGTCTGTCAAATAAAGCCAAACAAGCTTAGTTGACTTTTGGGCGCCGCACATTTGTCTTGCTGTGCCAGGACATCTCACAGCCCCTCCCCCAAGTGACCCGCTTCGGCCTTTAGGTTATGCACTGAGAGAAATGGATAACCAAGTGTCATTAAAGTACTAACTAAGGAACAATAACTAGACCTACAATTGAACTAAAACATATATTCCCTTTCAATCAGAAGCTTGAAACTAAGTGAAGGAATCATTTCCGTCCCTATAAATTATATATATTCTTGATCAGCATCAGCAGGAGAATCTTTCTAGCAATCTCCGGTAGAAAAAATAATTTTTCAAAATTTTTTCAACTTTTTGCAAAAGAGAAAGGGGGTTAACATCGTTAAAATTTGCAAAAATTTACAAAAATTTTAATTTGTAAATAAAGTATGCAGATTAATTAACCTATCAAAAACTAACACAGAACTGCTTTCCGAATTTAAATTAATGCATTTTTGGCTTAGTTATGGATTTTTTAAACTTTGAAACCCAATAAAAAAATTACGTATACGTAATATTGCACCAACCAACATTGAATATCACGTAGTATACGTCCTTCAGACTACGGAAAATCTTTTCTTTAAATATCTAAAATAGTCTTACTTTCAGTGATTTAATTTGTAACTGGGATACAGTCTTATTTATAATAGTTTATAATATCATTTTATTTATAAGGAGATTATACTTTTAGGTTTTCATTCAATATTTATTATTGAAGACGATTATAGTTTCATTCAGAGGCTTAAAATTTAGTGATAGCACCATTTCCGACCCTATAAATGATATATATTTTTTATCAGCATCAGCAGCTGAGTCGCTTTAGCTATGTTCGGAAAAAATTTGAGTTTTTTTAGAATTTTATAGGGATTACATCGTTCAAATTGTCAAAAATTGACACAAAAATTTTAATTTCCTAAAATTTCAAATTGGTTATGCTGATTTATTAACCTAATAAAATCCAGTACAGAAAAGCTATCTGAATTAAAATTAATGCCTTTTTGGCTTAGTTATGATATTTGAAACACAGCTTTATGCTAAAATTGAGAATATAAAAATAATGATTTAACCCAACACAGAAAAATTATATTAATGCATTTTTGGATTAGATATGATCGATTGCACATTCGAAATAAGTAAATGAATCATTTCTGACCCTATTAATTATATATATTTTTAGTCGGTATAAACAGAGTTTATCTAGTTTAAAAATAAAGTAATTCGCTTTACTGGTGTCACTAAACGTAATTCTTAAGTCTAGAGTAATCCAGTAAAAAAAGATTTTCTTTTATAATGAAAAAAATAAAGAAGACCCCCTCTATTTATGAATTAATTTAGTAATTCTTCAAGTTGTTTTTACTTCTCTCTCCATTTAAGTGCTCCTTATTCCTCTTTTAAATCAATAACATTCCTTAGCTTTGTATCTTTATTACTTAGTTATGTAGTTAGTTAGTCATAGTCATAAAATCTCATACTTCAATACAATTTCTTTCAGTGCATTTAGCACCGACACAAACCCCCAGAAAAAAAAAAACGTGCCCAACGAGGCGACAACACTCATATTTAGGGAATGTAGGAGAGAGGCGCTTTGCATACCGGGCTACTCACCATCGACGATGTGCACGCGCACCGTGGCAGGATTGGCATTGGATGGGGTGCATGTGTAGACACCCGAGTCCTGGGCGATGGCCTTCTGCACCAGGAGCCGGCTGGTGGTCAGCACACCTTTCTCGGTGACTAATGATATGCCGCCGCGAGGTGAATCGAAATTTATGATCTGAAATAAATAAAGGCGAACACAAGCAGCTTAGTGCCAGGACACAACTTTGTTTTTTGCTTTTTTTGTTTTTTGCTGTATTTCGGGGCAGGATTCTGGGAGTATGATAGTTAAATTTTTATTAATGACAGCATGTTAGTCAAGCCAGGGGTTCTGACTGAGGCAGCTTAGTTTCCTTATTTTGCCAGGAAACTCCCCCAAAATAAAAAATACACAAAGACTAGGAAGATTTAAATATAGAAACGAGGAAGGAAATACCCTTGACATTTGGCATAATAAAAATGACAGAGGCTACAGGACTTTTGTTAATATTTTTTTTAGAACTTAAGCTGTTTTTTATTGTTTTTATTATTTGAAATGATTTTAGTTTGTATATTTTTGGATAAATTGTAGATAGATAAATAGATAAACTCAGAGAAAAGCAGGAATTCTTACATTTACTTTTAAAGCCTTTACTTTTGTCTTAACTAAAAAGTTGTTTATTATTTTCATTATTTTGAAATGATTTTAGTTTGTATATATTTTGATTATTTGTTCTAGATAAACTCAGAGTAAAGTAAGGAAACTTATAGATACTCTACATTAACTTTAAAAGCCATTACTCTTGTCTTAAGTAAAAGTTGTTTATTATTTTATTATTTTGAAATGATTTTAGTTTATTTATTTTTGGATTATTTATCCCAACAAGAACTCTTGTATATACTCTACATTAACTTTTAAAGTGATTACTTTTGTCTCAGTTAAAAGAAACAATGTCCTGTCGATCCGATATCAATAAAAGTGAAATCCAAAATGTCAAATTGTGACAGTTTACGGTTCAAGCAATTACGAAATTGTAAGGACTCTTAGGGGTAGTTTTTTAGTTTATACTTGCTGGCATTATGAACCCTTGTCAAGGATAATTATAGATACTATTCAGAGGATTTTCTTTAGCCACATTTTAGATATATCTACTGTATATATTAGCCAGAAAGACTTGTGCACATGTCAAGTGGCTTGTTCGTTGTGGTTTGGCGGTGGTTTTTCTTGGTGGCTTTTCTTGGTGGTTTTTCTTGGTGGTTTCTTTGACTCACCTGTCGCTCGTGGGACCAAATGACGGTGGGCGGTGGCTCTGGGGCAAATTTCACAATGCAGGTGAGATTGATGGTGGAACCACGGTTAATGTGCAGCTCGCCGCCGCCAACGATTTCGGTGACGGGTTCTGGAAGGAGATAAAGGACGATTGAGTACAGAAAAAGTCAAAATCATTGCATAAGCTGCGGTAGAACACACACAGACACACAAAAAGGAGCATAAAACATTTTGAAAGCTCATTTCAGTTAAGCCCAAACAACAATAAAAGTAAAAACAAAAAAAAGAGGGGGTTTAGCAAGGATGAAGGGCAAAGGGCCAAGGACACTCAGAGTCGTCCTGAGCCTGTTTAAGCAAATTTATCTACCGTTGCGTTAAATTGTTTTCTTTCCTGCTGCGTAACCAGAGCGTATGTACTATAAGTAACCCCTCGGAGTGCCCCCGAAAGACCTCCCAGGAAAACCCTGTGTGTGTGTGTATTTGATATTTCCACGTTTGTTTACTTTCTTATTCAACGTAAAATAAAGAAACCGCTGCGAATGAAGAATAAGGATAACAAAAAGCATTGCACAGGGACATCGGAAGAGGACTGGATGGAGACCCAAAGAACAACAACAGAAAAAATCTCAAATTCAAATGCTAGGCAAAAGTCAACAACAAATTGTGTCATTAGTTCAAGGACATTGATTGAAATGTCGGTTTGGCCGTAACTAAAATTGGAAATTGTCAACTTTCTCCCTTAGAACTTGGACAATGTTGCCCCCGCAGACACTTGGCTTTTATCCTTGTTGTTGTCAGAGAAAGTAACCAGAAACTGAGAGAAATATTTGATTTAATAAATAATTTATATGATATAAAATAGCTTAAGTTAAAGGAAAATCTACCTCAACTATCAATGGTATGCAAATTTGTACATTTTTATAACCTTTGCAGGGTATTTATAATTTAGTCAGAAGTTTTAAACGAAGCAATCGGAAAATTTTAAGAAAAATATATAACTTTTACAGTTTTTAACATATTTTTAACTAATTTGATTCATAACTATTATTTATTATTATAGAATTTCGTTTTTAGTTTTATGAAAATTGGAATACTATATAATATAAATGCCACAGAAACGGTTGTAAGTATCTTTCAACTGAAAATTATTATAAACATTAAGTAACTTTGAAGAGTAAGTATCTATAATCAGTAATTAACAATGAGCAGTAAATAACTCTAAACACTAATTAACTGTAATCACTAATTAACTATGACCAGTATTTAACTTAGAGCAGTAAGTAACTCTGAACAGTGAGTATCTATGATCAGTATCTTTGAACATTAAGTTACTTTGAACAGCAACTATCTATGACCAATATGATAAGTACCTATAACTAGTAAGTATCTATGACCAGTAAGTAACTTGGATCAGTTAGTATCTATGATCAGTAAATAACTATGATCAGTAATTAAGTATGATCAGTTAAAATCTATGTATGTATGTATGTATGATCACTTACTAACTTTGAACACTAGTAAACAATGACTTGCAACTTTTGTAACACAACACATATCTGAGACTTGGCTGGTAGAAGTCACTTCGTTCCGGGGATGCTTGAACAAGTTGAGAATTATATGCACACATGTGAGAGATTTGTTTTGGCACAAATTTAAGCTATTTCAATGAAACTATGGAGTTATTCTTCTAAATTAATTTACTTATGTACATGTCGGGGCATGGCAAATCGGTGGACTATATATGTACATATATATATCCAGCCATAGGAACAATAGTTATATTTTTTTCTTAAAATTTTCCGATTGCTTCGTTTAAAACTTCTGACTAAAATTATAAATACCCTGTACAAATTTGCATACCGTTGATAGTTGAAATAGATTTTCCTTTAACTTAAGCTATTTTATATAATATAAATTATTTATTAAATCAAATATTTCTCTCAGTTTCTGGTTACTTTCTCTGACAACAACAAGGATATAAGCCAAGTGTCTGCGGGGGCAGCATTGTCCAAGTTCTTTTAAAAAATTTAAATAGTTTATTAAATATATATAAATTATTACAAATAAATACATATATTTATTACAATTAAAACAAGAAAGGAAGCTAACTTCGGCACGCCGAAGTTTATATACCCTTGCAGATAGAACTTCTATGAATAGGAATCCATAGAATATAAATTATATAACATATATTTGTGTTAAAAAACAATGAAGTAATACCAGCTTTCATTTCATTCACCTATACATATTATATTTGCAGTTTTACATTCACAGATTTGCATTTTTCCTTTACATCAAACGATCGTTTGTATGGCACCTATATGATATAGTCGTCCGAATTTTATGAAATTTGCCACAAAATTTAAGACTTATGTAGAATGGCTATACCTCAAATTTGATGAAAATCAGCTGAAAACTAAAAAAGTTATAAATTTAATTGTATTAATTTCTCGATCGTTCCTATAGGAGCTATATGATATAGTAGTCCGATTTTCATAAAATTGTACACAAAATTTTAGAATAATATGAAATGGCTATATTTCAAATTTGATTAAATTCTGTTGAAAACTAAAAATGTTATACTTATTAATTGAATTAATTTCTCGATCGTTCCTATGGGAGCTATATGATATAGTCGTCCGATTTTCATAAAATTTTACACAAAATTGTAGAATAATATGAAACGGCTATATCTCAAATTTGATAAAAATCTGTTGAAAACTGAAAATGTTATACTTATTAATTGAATTAATTTCTCGATCGTTCCTATGGGAGCTATATGATATAGTCGTCCGATTTTCATAAAATTTTACTCAAAATTGTAGAATAATATGAAACGGCTATATCTCAAATTTGATAAAAATCTGTTGAAAACTGAAAATGTTATAATTTTTTTTGTAAAACTTTTCCGATCATTCCTATGACAGCTATATGATATAGTCGTCCGATCCGGCCCGTTCCGACATATATACGAGTGAGAGTATATAGAAGACTAACTGCAAAGTTTCATTCAGATAGCTTCAAAACTGAGAGACTAGTTTGCGTAGAAACGGACAGACGGACAGACGGACAGACGGACAGACGGACAGACGGACATGGCTAGATCGACTCGGCTGTTGATCCTGATCAAGAATATATATACTTTATATAGTCGGAGGTGCCTCCTTCACTGCGTTGCAAACTTCTGACTGAAATTATAATACCCTGCAAGGGTATAAAAATATATAAATAAATATAACAAGAAAAGAAGACAAATTCGGCATGCCAAAATTTATATACCCTTGCAGTTTGTTTTTCGAATTATTAGATCAAATCGAAAATCGTTCATTACTAAGCTTGAAATATTAAAAATTAAATATTAAAAATTAGCATTGAGTTAATTTTAAATAAATATTAAAAAGCAAAAAAAAAATCATTAATATTAATTAATTTTTTCTTTGGGTTGAAAATAACTCCTTCATACCGTTACAAAATTACAAGCAATTTAAAAATATTATATATTTTATAATATCCTAATATAGTAGTCATCCCCTGCAAGGGTATAAATAAGTTGAATATAGCAGAAGTAGCTTATTATATGAGTTAGGGGCTTCATTAGGTTTTGCTGGCTTTTATTCTTAATTCACAAATTGCCAAGAAAAAAAGGTAAACAAAGGAAGCTTTAAAGTGGATCGTATTTTTATACTGGCCCTCCCGCATTTAGGTTCCACCTTACAGCTAGAATTAGAAACAGATATTCACAAACCAAGGAGGCGGGGGAAAGGCAACGGCAGCTGTACAGTTTTCCAACTATCAAACCTGCTAGCCCCAAGAGTGGATCGTATTCTTTCAGTGGCTCTCCCGCTCTTAGGTTCCACATAACAGTTGGAATATGAAACAGATATTCAGTGACCAGAGAGGAGGGGGAATAAAATCGCATAGAAAAGCAAATACAAGAGCAAGACAAAATATACTTATTTTCACTCACCCATCGATTCCAACTGTAAATTTGTACAGCATACAACAAAAACTCTTCTGAATTGAAGGGTTTTTGCAATCGTTTACGCATTGTCTTTGCCATTAAACGAAAAACGAAATTGAACAAAACGGAAAAACAAACCGGACAGGTGCCTGGCCTCTGTTGTGGGACTAACTAACTAACACTTTTCACTTAAACCTCGAATTAATAAACTCTCTTTTATCACTTTCACATATAAAAAAAATAAAAATAATTATAATTACTAGGAGAATCTTGGCACTGTAAAAAACAAAAATAAAATATAATAAAAACACAACAGAGGCTGTTCTCGGTCTTTCCCTTACTTCAGGAATACTTTTCACTTCACTTTAATTGCACTTTCAATACATTTGGCACCTGTCTTTACTATTGCGTCGTTAGTTTTATTAACTTCTTTTTCACCGATCTACTCGCGCCGCGAAACTGATTTGAAATGATCAACGGCAAAAGTTGCGGGAGAGGGCGAACCATTTAGGATAACGGAAGGCGGCGAGAGAGAGAACGTAAAGCTCTCTCTCGTCAATATAAGCTGGACACTTTCAAAAAGCTTCGATTTCCGTTTCGATTTAAACCTGGAGCAACAATGCAATTTGCTTGTTTGTCATAGAAAAGAAATACTAAAACTACTATATAATATAATATAATATAATATAAATATATTATAAAACTATAATATATATATATATATTATATATATATAATATATATTAAAACAAACAAGAAAATTTCAAATTTATTGCATATTTATTTAGTTTTAGTACTAAATAAATACTAAAATAGTTTTAGTACTAAATAAATACTAAATAAATATGCAATAAATTTGAATATATATTAAAACAAACAAGAAAATTTCGAATTTATTGCATATTTATTTAGCAAATTATTGTTGCTCCAGGTTTAAATCGAAACGGAAATCGAATCTTTTTGAAAGTGTCCAGCTTATATTGATGAGAGAGAGCTTTACGTTCTCTCTCTCTCTTGCCGCCTTCCGTTATCCTAAAGGGTTCGCCCTCTCCCGAAACTTTTGCCGTTGATCATTTGAAATCAGTTTCGCGGCGCGAGTAGATCGGTGAAAAAGAAGTTAGATAGTTCTAATTCTAGCTGTAAGGTGGAATCTAAATGCGGGAGGGCCA